TGCATTTAAATATGCGTTTATGCTCGATGAAAAAATCAGAAATAACCAGATATTAAATATATTTTTTTTAATTTTAGAACATATTACTCAGACCATATTACTTATTAGAACATTAGAATAATAGGATATAATCATTTAGAACTGTAGAACCATTTAGAACACTCCAGACGCATTTACAACTGCCTGGAACCATTTAGAACGCTCCAGAATTACTTAGAATTATCTAAACAATTTAGAATGCACCAAAACCATTTAGAACTGCCTAGAATCACTTAGAACGCTCCAGAACCTTTCGGAACACTCCAGAATGATGTAGAATGCTCTAGAATCATTTACACCTCTCTAGAACTATTTAGAACGCTCCAGAATCATTTTGAACACTCCAGAATCATGTAAAACTGTCTAGAACCATTTACAACGCTCCAGAATAATTCAGAACTGTCTAAAGCCATTTAGAATGTTTCAGAATAATTTAGAACTGTTTAGAACCATTTGGAGTTTTCCAGTACCGTTCAGAACACTATATTTCAGAGTTCTCAGAATGGATTTGGCCGTTTTTTCTGGTTTCTGCAGTTCCCCGAATTTGCAAGTAATAATTATTAACGTTATTATTTTTATTAATTTTATCGTATTAATTATTGGAAAAATATATTGAAAAATGCAAAATTTAATTTTGCTTATGTAAATTGAATCTTTGGGGGGAAACGCCTATGCATGTATGTACAAAGTTATAAAAGTTAGAGATGGAAACACCCTATTAAAAGGATTCCAACAACGATAATTCTTCAAGTGTTTGGTTTTATTCGATTTTCCACATAATAGATTACTAACTAATGTAAATCTTTAGTGCCTATAACGACGATTCGAGCGATCGAAAAGCGAAAGGCGCAATCAAAACGTCGCGTCTCGTCGAGTGGTTGATAATGCGGTCGTTGCGGTGCTTTTGTCGACGTTTCGCGCAATCACGGCTCGCATACACAATTCGGGGATAATCAGGAACACGTGCCCGTCGACCTCCGAGCCTGATGAGGGCCATTCAATTGACGAAAATCAGGAGACGAACGAGATGCGGAGCGATTAAACCATTCAATCAAGTCCTCTATTCGAGACGTCGAATGGAAACGCTAATAGAACACTTATCGAATTGATTTATCTAATGTTGATAAAATAATGCGGACAGAAATTCGCGGTGTGCCGAGTTGATGGGTTTGTTTGTCGTTGTTGTATCCAAGGGGAAGGTTAAATTGGTGTGTAATAACTCGGATTTGTTAGATGATTTTTTTTAATAAATCAAGAACAATTGGAAAACTTTCAGCACACAAAACATTAAAAAAAGTTAGGAAATAAATCGTGCGAAATCAGCAAAATATTCGCTCTTTTTCTCTTCCAATTATCTAATCTTGAAGCGATATTTCACTGGTAGAGAAAAGTGCTTAGTTTACTAGCACTATGTCAATGGAAAAAATTCGTGAACAAAAACGATATCTTCTGCATCTCTTTATTCACGGGACCGCCCCTGTATAAATACAAATTCTGGGCTAGTAGGCGGGTCAGTTCCAAACATAACAAACTGTTTTTGTTTTTTTTCCTATAAAGATTTACTGCATCGGCGTGTATCTCTTGTTTGAACATAGGGAGAAATTTTTAATTCCATTAATTTAATTATGTAAGTAGGAGGATTTTTTATTCACTAGTTATCCTAATTATTTATTTTTAATTTCTAATGATAAAAAAATCTGCTTGAACTTCCTAAGCTTACATTTAACCATTTAGATAATTGGCTTAAAATTGGTCTAATAAAATTGTCAACTTTATAACATTTTTTAACTATCCCTTTAAATATTGAACAATACAAAGTGATCTTTATATGTATAAAAGAAGTTTGTAGTACAAAGGATAGTTTATTTTTTATATGAAAAATGGACGAAACGATCATCTTACGCCCCTGCCATTCGACCTTTATCACTTTGAATTAACAACTCTTCGAATTAAAAGAGTGAATCGGACATATGTCTAAAGACCGAAGTCGAATTTTGAAATGCACTTTATAAGCCGGTAGGTTGTACTATTTCTGGAATTATACCTGTCTTATTTACGCCTAAAGAATGGATAATTTGGTCACTTAGGCGCTATAAAACTTGAAAATATTTATATAATTTAAAATGGCATTAGCTGCATTAATAGAAATATAAATTGTGAAGTGAGTGGAAGAGATTTTTTAAGGATATTCTGGCGCGCGATATATATGTGTTTCTTGGCGCCCTTATCTGGTCTCTCCGATCAGATACACCCTTGATATATTTCAGAAATATTATAACAAAAGGAATAAACATTTATCATATTTTTTACGGTTTTCATATTTCACTGTTCCGATGCGTTTTGTGTGTGTCTTGACTCGAATAATTTTGAATAATTTTACATAACGGCCTCTTTCGTCTTTTTTTTCTCGTTTTTCGTCGACTTATTTTTTATTTTCTCTCTCCTTTTTCCCGGTATCGACCCATAAATTATCGGCCCGTTCCGTCGAGGATTGATTTGAATTAGATTGAATTCCTAAAGGTCGGTTATTAATTGAGATTTTATCTAGTAGAAAAAAATGTTTTTTTGTTATTTTACCACAACTTCTACCTATAATATTACATGATTTATTACAATTTAAGAATTTACACTACATATTACAAATTCTGATTTAAATTACCTGAATTTAATATTTTAAACTATTTCAAGTTTCTGTTTGTAGTAACACTCTTCTTAATCAGAATGCAAAAAATTAGAGAGATTTCTCAATCAGTTTGAGAATGATTATTAGGAATTTTGCGATCTATTCCAATTTTCCGGGTACTTTTTTGTCACTGTGTATACACCTTGTATCTTGATAATACACAATATAGTAATTATATTTAGTAGTAATTTTTTTATTGAGATAAGAAAATTGAAAAATACATATTTTTTCCAATTTTGCTGATTAATGTGCGTTTATGCGCCTCAAGTACGTCAGAATCAATTTATCGACCACCTGTCAGCAACACCCATTGGCTATCAATTAAACACAATTTATAAAGAAACAGGTAGAAAAACGGCGAAACCTCGGCGAAATTTATATTATTTTTATGTTATGCCGAAGAGAAAGGTCAGTTTCGCATCATTTGTAGAAAACTATCGGGCAAACAATGGGAGAATTGGAGAGGACTGTTACACAAAAGCGGGTTTCGTGTCATTTATAAACATCTTCAAATAGTGGGAATATAAAAAAGGATACCGCACACACACGCTCACAAAAAAAATGACGAAGAGAAACTGGAGAATTTCTCACAGATCTGTCCTTTTGTTTCCGAGACGGGGACGATGCAGGTGTCAGGGGAATTATCAGATAAATTGTTTTAAGGAAGGCTCCATTCCCGGAATCGTCGTCATTTGTTTCGGCCAACGCAGACAGATTGGCACCGTGTTGCTTTTGTTATTTTTTCGTTCTTCTTCTCACATTTAGCTTAAAAAAGCGCTGAAATGATGGATATTTAATTTTTTTCCACCGTGAAGAATTTAATAAATATTCCATCAATGATTAATTGTTTTATTTGCCATAAATCATCCAAATCCGAGATATTTCCATAACGTTTTAAATATCGATATCATCCCCATTTCTGGTTTGGTGCGTGTGCATCCAGTAAAACTGTTTTTAATTGCGCAAATAGAGCACGAATGATTCCTTTTAATCCCTTGGCCGCGAAAAGGTTTAATAAACCTTCCCCCCGGGCGACGATATGTTTTAATAACCCCTACCCCCTTGTAAGTGCCATGTAAGGGTGTCAATCCCCGCGTATCCTTTAGGGAGCACTTGGTCGATGTTACCCCTGCGTGAGAAAGCGATCTTAATGGAATTTTCGCCGATTTATTAGGTAAAGATTGTACGAGTGCGAGTAATTTAAGTGGTGAAATTGAGTTTTGTGTTTATGCGGTGGGGGCATTAGGATGGAATGGATTTTTTTATTACATTGCTTATGAGTAATAGCTAGATTTTTGAAAACGTTTTAATACTGTTTGGAAAAAAGGTAAAGCTTTCCTGTGAAATTTAAACAGTATTCAGGGTTTCCCATGACGAGTTTAAACTATCTGTTCATTAGGAAATTACTTATCCGATTTTTAAATAAAATTTGGTAAACATACAGGGTGTTAATTAATTGAATGTCGATACTTCATAATGAGAATATGGGGGTGATTTTAAGACGAAAATTTGATATTAATATATGTCCCAAACCTCTTAGTTTTCGAGCTACAGGGTGTTACAATTTTAGAAAAAAATAACTTTTAAATTCTATCACAATTTTCATTACTCCAGATATTTTTATGAAATTTTGAACACACTTTTTAATTGTTAAGGGGAATTTTTTGAGGCAAAACATTTTTTAAAATTTTTACCAGTGACGTCCAAAGGGGGTTTGATCTGAATATATTTGAATAAAAAATGATACGCCATTGCTTTTTCTAAAAACCAAAATTATTTTTAAAATCCTCATTTATTTAATTAACATTAATATTAATTATCTACTACCAGTGACGTCCACGTCCGAAATTTCTTAAAAATATCTGGAGTAATAAGAAAACTATGATAGAAAAATTATTTAGGTTTAGAACATATATCGACATAAACTTTTCTCTTTAAAACCATCCAAATAACATCCCGAAGTATCGGCACGGGTATCGGGAGTGTGTATAAAAAATGTGAAAACTTCAAAATTATTAGATTTCTTGTTTTAAATGGAACCACCCAGTTTTTTTTCTATTTTAATGAAATCAGCGGCAAAAAATAAGGGAATTTCACGTTTATTTCCCTTACCTAAACGTTTTGAAGATATTAATAATTTTTCATTACACTTACATGTTATAGCACCTATCATCCACAGAGATAAAGTTTTTTTATTCTAGAGTATTTATAGAGATCTCTCAGGTATTCATTAATCCTGAATACATTCTGTCAAGGTATCTTCATAAAAAAACTGGTAACGTTTCTATAAATAAATTTTATTCGGATTACATAAATTGCGGAAAATATTATTAGCACTTTTTTACTAATTGTTTCTTACTCTTCAGCAACGTCCTAAAATAAGGCAGCTTACTCTTTGTTTCTTCTCATATCTACAGTATTTAATTTTATGTCAATAAAACTACTACTTTTTACAAATTAACATAAATAATATAACGTAATTGATATATTTTAATATGATGACGCCATTATACATACAGTGGAGACCGAAAAATTGAACAAATTCTACGAATTAAAAATGTTGTTACTTTGTAAGCCATCTAATTAATCAAATTTTGGTAAAAATGTAAAAAACCTATAAAATTTAAAATTTAGAAGCCTTTTATTTATTGTTTTAAACAAAAATTTTTATGCATTTTTCGGTACCCACCGTATTTACATGCGTGAGGAAGTGTAATTTATTTCGCTATAATTCGTCCAAAAAATATGTGCCATTTACTTCCTTAAATTCCGTTTTCATTCAAAGATAATAGGTATTCATAAATAATTTCGATCTTTTCATGAATATTTATTAAATACTGAATAAGCACGTAGGTAACTGTATTTTAGTATGAAACTTACTGCCATTATGACAAATAATTTTTACATATTTTTTTATGACGAACCATTCGAACTATTTATTAAATAACCTCTTAATTAGAAACATTCCAATAAGTTTTACGGTGAAAATGCGAAGGCCGGTCAAAATGTTTTCCATCGAAAAGTTGAAATTATTTGCTTACATTTAAGTTCATTTAAGTACATTCAATTTTAGTAAATAAGTACAATGAAAAATACTCGTCCATTGTAATGTCAGGATTGATGTTATGACAGGTGCATTGGATCGATTGAAATCGTAAATATTTTGATGATTTAACCAGTTGTAACATCAATTCTGTAATAGCGCATAGAAATTATTGCTTTGTATTCGTAACGTTAGTAATTATTAATCAACATACAGAGTTATCGACTGTATAAATTTTATTAAAAAGCGTGCAAAAGAGGAACAATGTTTTTCTTATTCATATTGATGTCATTTGATAAGGCACAATGTTTTCGGCAATACAGAATTTAGTTACACACAAATCAAATAAAAGTGTAATACATTTCAACAATTTGATGTAAAAGTACTATTTTGTATCACGTCTTTCGTGATCATTCTTTGTTAAAATTTCGAAATCCATTTTGTTTCGTACATATTTTAACGGTTTTTAAACCACACCAAAACAAATGGAAAACATTTAGACATCCATTTACTCTCCATAATATCTATATATTATATATAAATATACAACTTTATAATATTCTCACAGAACACAGAACCCGCATTCTTTTTTCTTAAAAAATCACCGAGATAATAAATTGTTAATTCAATAAATTGTTCATCTACGTCCCAACAGCGGCTCAATCTCCACCGGTAACCGCGACTTCCTTCAATATGGCACCGTCTGATTGTAGGGAATTCAAAATCGCACCCGACGTATCTAACTCGATTTCCTCTCGCTTAGGTTCCTCTTCTGTGCTAGCAGAATCCGGTGGGGGTGAAGAGGGACTCGGGACAGGCGGGCTCTCTTCAACATCTACACCTTGATCTTCTTCAGCGCGCTCTTCTTCTGCATGCTCTTCTTCTGCGTGCTCTTCTTCTGCGTGCTCCTCTTCTTCAGGAATGGGCTGGGACACTTCCTCTTCGGATTTGGAGTGCCTTTCAGACTGATCTTGATTACTCATATCCTAAAAAGAACGTAAAAAAGTTTAGAAAAGCGTACTACGTAAGGATCATTATGGTGAGTTACGATGATAAGTTTTTCTAAAAATAATCTTACTTGAGCTCTCACAGAGACGGCTCCATTGGTCGGCGAACCGCCGTCTTCGCCACAAGGCCTTAGAACCAGGTACAACAGTAAATCCGATAATGAAATTATTCCTAATACTTTGTCTTTCTCGTCTACGACCACTAACCTATGAACCTGCAAAAGATCGATATACATTTATACGCACTTAATGAGATATTCAAACTAAAATTTTATTCTCAAGTGTTCTTAAGACTGTTGAAAATAATTACTCCCCCTATATGGAAGTATTCATTTTCAACTTTCATATACCTAGAACAATTTAGGTTCAAGTTGAATATTTGATTTTATACTTGCTCTAGTAGGTACTTACCTCAGCTTTAACAATTTTTTCCATAATTGTATAGAGAGTTTCATCTAATTTACATTTATATACACCCTCGAACCATTCGTTTCTGTGCTCGTTGGCCTTCTTCAATGAGACGTCTAAATCGTTGTAAGTTTTTTCGGCCGCTAAATTCTGCAAAACAAAGGACAATTTTTAATTTAAAATGTTTGTATACAACACTGCTTTAAGTTGGAAGGGGCCTTTATTAGATGTTATTAGATTATTAATTTCAAAATCAGCTTAAAGGTTTCTTTAAACCTACGATGGCATTTATTACTGTGACAGAGAAGTGTGATTCATCTTTCTTCAACAAACTTTATAATCAAAAACATCTAAGACAGGCTCAAATAAAGTTTTCAAAACGTACCGAATTTGCTCAACTGTATCTCAATTAAACCTATTATTCAGATTAGCCAATGCTTTAAAATATCTTTGAAACAACATTTTCGTAAAGAACCGTTTAACATTAGGAACATGGTTAAAGAACACTTTACACCTTCCGTTTGTTAAATAATACTTGAACGTTTTATTTTACAATCGGCCATAATTCTGATATTTACAATCTGCTAATATACTTTGTAGCTATTATTTACCCGTTAAAACAAAATCAACTTCATTCATAACCCATAAATAACCCTATTTTTTTTATAGTTTACTCACAATGACATCGAACTTGGCATAGATATCGACAAGTCTTCCTTCGACATCGACCACTGGCAAGGCCGACACTCTCCTCTCGACGAATTTCTTTAAAGCTAGTATAATCGTCGTATCCTCCGAGGCCATTTCGATATTCTCATAAGAACCGATTCGAACTTCTCGCAACGTTTTGTGCATGTAACTGGGCTTCGGTAATTCGTTGATCTACAAACACAAACATTTTTGTCAAAACATACCGATTTAAATAATTAAAATCTGTAATATTACATAAAACAGACGTAAAGACACTCATTAAAGTTCCTGTATTAATGACTATCATTACATGCCAGTTACAATGTTATACATACATTTATTATGTTATACAATGTAATAAATACAATGTTTAAGCGTGAGGATACTTACATATAAAAATAAAAACCTAAGGATTCGCTTATGCGTTAGAATGTACAGTACATTGCCCGTTTCGGGATCGATGACGGGCAACCTGTGTATCCTGTTGAGAATCAAAGTCTTGATGGCATCGTATAGGGAGGCGTCGGGACCGATGTTGATCAGCGGCTTCTTGTCTTTCAAGACGCGTCGCCACGTGTCCAGTTTGTGCTCCTCCAACTCCTCCATTTGTACGTCGGGAGATTTGTAGTACATCCTCAGGATTTTGATGAAGTCGGTTATGGTCAACATGCCGACGAATTCTTGCTTGGTGCTGTCCCAAAGGGGCGCCGCCCTGACACCTACAAGTTACAGTTTTTTTTTATAGAAAATTTCCTGCAAACAAGTGTTGTACACTTACCGTTATATACAAGGGCAAAAAAGGCTTTCTTAACTAAAAGTTGCGTATCGAAAACGACTAGCTTGGCGGAAGTGGGAATGAGGTCGTAACATTTGTGGAATTTGAAAAATTTGACGAATATCTGCGACTCATCCTCTTCTGCAAAAGGGAAAATTCATTCATCGTTCAATACACAAGTATTAAAAGCAACTATAAATACCTCTAGCAGATCTACTTTAATCAATTAATAATTAATGTATTAATACAACATTTTCCTAAAATCACCTCGTTAATGAAATATAAATGGATATACCTGATAGCGACTCGCCTAAAAACTTTTTCGTTCTCTTGATCGACATGCGATCGCTTCTCCCGACAATTCTACCAACCTTTTTCCAATATCTCCGCCAGCCAGTCCTTGTATCCTTGCGAGATGTGCTCGAACTCCTTGATTTCGTCTATCCTATACACTTCTTCGTCTTCGTGCGGCAATAGAATGGCGAATTGTCCGGAATAGACGTGAAGACGTATCGTCTTCGACATGCCCCGTCAAACGGACGCATTTTCAAATCAATCCGACGACGTCATTGGTTCCCGTTGCGCGATCGAACTCGCGAAATTTTTAATTGGGGACATACGCTTATTCTATTTGTTTGTTTGTATTAGAAATAATCAGATTTAATTCGATTTCGTAACTGTAAAATAAATAATTACCGTGTTTTTTTTTTGGAAATTTAATCAGTTTGATGGTTTTTTCCAAAAAACAAGGCAAAAGTAGGTAATAAGGTTTATTTTTGTATTTGTATGTGTGTTCAAAATATATATTAATTAAAATTTAAATGCGGAGTTATGAATTTTTGTAGTTTCTGTGAAAAATCCGATAAATTATACATAAATTATTATCAGCACATAGTACCAACTTCATCAGCACGAATGCATCATTCCATCACTCATTCAACAATATTTTCTAATCGACAGGGCTTTAATTACATCTACCAATAACAAAAATAAGCCAAATGCAAAATAACTTAATGCGTGTTGTGTGTTTATTGAAAAGTTCCTCATTCCCAAATTTATTATATACCTACTATAAAAAATAAAGGACGAAAATAAACCAGTATCTGGTCGTCCGATAAATGCATCCGTTCGACGTTTGCCAAAAAACTTTACGAGTTGCCAAACCAATTCGTTTGTCAACAAGTCCCGTACCAAAAAAAAAATTACTACAAACACTCGAAAACTTTGCTGATACTTCCGCGGTAAACCGGGAAAACGATCGAACGACGCCACTTGATCTCACTTTTCCACTTATTTTCCGTCCTACAGCCAGTGAAAATACGGTGGTATAAGATGATGTTATAAAAAAAAAAAGAAAAAAAAAATGCGTGTCCGTTGTTGCGAGTGGAGATGAGCGAGGATCAACTGAGAAATAGAAAGCACGACGAGTGAAAATAATAAACAAGTGAGTTATTATTGGAGATGGAGAGTCGAGCAGAGGCAGATAGGAGAGCCAACGACAACCCAATACACCGATTGTAAGTTAAGTTTATATCGGAATGTCTGCGCCATAGTTAAATTCGGTGCCAACGCAATTTAGAACAGTGTTGTCAGGAATACAGGAATATATTTCTCAATGGCGATTACCGTTTCACGACTATCCCGAATTTCCCAGAATATATGCTATAGCTGCCAATCATAGAGATTTTCAGGAAGGAAGAGGCACCTTAAATTTTCGAATATTCTATAAGAGTTTAAATAACACCTTAACATCTTTAATAAAAATTTAATTTTGGGCTATTTTTTATCATATGTACCCTACTTCCTCATTTTACTTTTCTGTTAGATTTGAAAAACAACAAAATTCCTAAAATACTGGTATTTAAAACTTTAAAACAGCTCAAGTAGTAAACAAACATACGCCAGGAAACATACATATTCATAACACTTTCACTATGAACCTTCATAGGCAAAACAACTGTCGATAGAATTAAATCCATCAAAAATAAAAAAATACTGAACCGAAAAAATCGCGAATGAATTTGAGGCCTTACTTTAATTCACGACGGCTCGCCGTTATTAGCACGTGTTTCGCACATTTATTTATGTAATTCGTTATAATAATTTATAATGAATAAAAATAGGACGCGTATAGGTACGCGTTTTAAACACGGTGCACGACTAAAGTGATTTTGACTACAAAGATTTTTATCTGAGCAACAAACATGGACGGTTTCATTGGGTTAGTTTAATGTAATTTATGGAACCGAGCGAGCGAATAAATGCCATATTAAAAAATAAACTCGTCGACTATATTTAAATTTCGTGTGCGTTCGGTAATTAATAGATCAAATATTATGCAAGGTGGATTTAATTTAGATTGTTTAATGTAATAATTTCAAAAGTTTATTATCGCTAATAATATTTCTGTGTTCGTAAATGATTTATTTATTTAGTTTGCTCAGTATTGGTACTGATAAATTGCAATTGAACGAAACAAACGTTTTAATCAACTTTGTTTTGTAGTAATTAAAATGACAAATAATTCGATTAAAGTAGATCTGCTTTTGAAATTTTCGATGTAAGATTTAAAAACTTACCCAAATCTGATATATTGACTTTTTCCAAAAAGGGATCAACAACTGGTAACTGCAAAAAATAATTATTTATCACCTAGATACGACTAAAGGATCGGGATTATCAGGAACTTACGCCTCTGGAATCCCTGAATAATATGGCGGCATGATGGGGGTCAAGGAAAGCATCGGAGGCCCTGTGTATATTAGGTATAGGTCCGATTGATTGTCGACGACGTTCAGGATCGAGTGATTTCTGACGCAGATGAGCACCTAGACAAAATTACAAATAAAATATTATTAACTGGAAACAGATTAATTAGAAAAATTTCCAAATGCACTTAACCTTTTTTTAGTATTTTGAACTGTTTCGCTCAGTTGGTATTTATTTTTAGTTTTATATGTTATGTTTTATGATGCCATTAAACGATAAAAAACAAGTAATTATGTCACATTGAACACCAAAAACAATTTAAAATATAATCAAATTTTTCTCCGCAGGAAAATAAAGTACAAAACAAAAAAAAACAAGTAGGTACCTATAGATAATTTATAGTGGATTTATCGGATTATTTCCGATACTACAGAAAGAGATAATATTATTGCACGCCAATAAAGACGTTTCTAATTTACATAAGAACATGATGTAATATTAAACAAATACGTATAATTTTTATGATCGGACATTTAAAAAATATTACATGATGTAACGGAATCGGTAACGAGAGTAAAATGTAAATAGTTGTATTTATTACAACAATACACACCTATTAGTTCATTTATGAAAATTAAAAAGGTGTTAGTAATTACTTTTGTGATAAACTTGTCGTTAAAAATCGATGAATTTTTTTAAACGGAACAATCATTAGCACTAATAACGACCCTGTGGGTAGGTAATTGTTTTTTACATACGTATTTCTCCTGAATAAATATTTTATTAGAATCACTATGGCACACTTTATCCATTAAATTTTGTCAAAGTATCACATATTTATAACAAGATTACCTGAGGTCAAAGAATAACGCCGAATGCGGGTCGCCATTTAGCTGATTAATGCAAACTAATGAAAATGTTTGTCATTAAGTGTAACACAGTAAATTGTAAATCAAATAATCGACTGATGAAAACAAATCGCAAGCATAGATATTAGTCCGGAGAGATTGAAAATGTAATTATGTATACAGAGATAAATGATTTAATATTGTCACTTATCTATGTAGATTCACATAATGTTAGTCATTTATATGTGCTGTTGAAATAAATACACACAATTCATTCTACAAAACGGATGAATTTTGAAAAAGTACTCTACCCTATCCAAATTAGAAATGTTATTTAACTGAGACTTGTCATATTCATATGCATGTAGTTATGGTGTATTATGCTGCTGGGTTAGCTCTTGTGTTTACCTAAGAGCTTTCCCTTCTATTAAGTGAAATGGGATTGCTATGTTTGTAATACTAATATAAGCCTTTTAATAGAATAACATTTTTTTACTACACGATGTTGTTCTTTAATTAATCCTACATTTATTGTACCGATTAAATTGCAAAATGCTTGTTGTAAATTTCCGAATGAGTACCCTTTTGTAGTAAAGTAATTTTCCAAATGATATTACACCAAATAATTGTTGTATAATTTTCCTGTCTACTAATAATGTAACAATAAAAATTTAAATTTTTTTCATGGGAATATCTTCCTATGATTGCAATTTGCTGCAGTTTGCATCCAGCTTGCAGTTTGTTTCCATAATAAAAATTTGCCGTAAAATCACAAGAGTCCTATAAAATATACCAAGGCACGTGTTAAATTCAGTGAATTAAAGTAGGCGTGTATTGAATGTTTCGAATAATAAGGTTATAAGAATATTTTTTACATCCGTTTGAATATGAATACGATTTTGTGTAGATAGCCTTGTTCCGGTGAACTTGATTACTCACCTAAAAAACAACTTTTATTTTCAATTCGCATTTTCGCTGCCTATTGCTTTTCGACTTGTCGCTGTTGAAAAGTTCAATGTCGATTATAGATCGATTGTTAACTTTTAACACGTAGAACGGTTATCATGCTAATTTTTACCCGGATCTAACAGAAACATACTACTAGTTGGACTTTTGTATAATCACCCATGTTTCACCTATTTACTCACCTTCCTTTAAAATGGTATCGTAAATTTTATAAGCATCGTTATCGGTAATCCTCTTCTTGAAATTGCAATCCAAAGATTTACTTCTCGCCCTAAATTGGTCCTCCTCTTCAACGCTTTCGCTCTCGCTGTGCCTCCTGCCGCCCCCTTCGGACCTCCAGTGCTGAATTTTCTTGCCGAAATGCTTCATCAACTCCTGTATGGAGTGATGGTGGTGGGTCTTGGTGGTGCATTTTGGCGAGGCCCCGTCGATTTTCGTCTTGGGCGACGTGCCCAAGTAGTCGATTTTGCCTTTGGGAGACGTTCCGAACGAATCGATTCTATCGGATCGCGTGGGCGACAGGAATCCGGGAGAGTCCGGGCGATTTTCCGAGGAGTACGGCGGTGAAGCGATGTCTATGTGCGGGTGGCGATGGTGATGGTTCATACGCGGATTGCCCACGTAATGGTGATTGGCGTGATAGGGCTGCTGGAAGCCGTTGTGACCGGCGAAGATGTTGCCGAAACTTTGCATGTTTTTGAACACTGGTGGAATTAACGCGCACTAATTTGCACCATATCTATTTGGTTCACAAATTATAAGTTTGTTAATTATTTCCTTTTTTATGAACTTACAAAAAAAATCAGTCGAATAATGTTTCCACAAAATACACATAGGGTATTTTAATAAACGCAAACATTAAAGTCTTTTGTGAATACTTATAGTGATAGTAAATATTATTGACATAAGCACACTCTATTTATTCGGTTAAATACTATTATCTCTTTAAGAGATACCATCAGAAGTTATAGTGAAAATACACTCAAATTCTTTCAAACCCACATTTTTATTTTCCAAAGCGGAAGGTCATTCGGTTGCTGTGGAAACATTCATTGACCGCATTAATTGAAACAAAGACTCACAATTTTTTTGTCGGAAATAACTTTTAGAAATACCAAAATACCGAAATGCAACTATTAATGTCTTTTCTAGAATAGTACATTGTACAATACACCGTGGCACACACGAATAAAATAAATTGGTAATATTAATAATTGTAAATTGTAAAACTTCCTCCTTATCGTGCACATACATTTTAGATAAATTATCGCATTTATTTGTGTTCGCCAACTGATTAAGGATAAAATTCGAAGTTTTTGACCTACATGAGATAAAAAAAAATTCGTACATATTCATACATTTTTTATGTATCAATAACAGAATATTTTCAGCGAGGTTTTTTTATTAGCACCGAAAGTTCAAAATGAGGTTCAAAAGTATTTTTTGACATCAAATATTCAAGTTGGCATTAAAAAGCATTATATGGGTTTGATGATTATAATCCTGTTTTGTTTCATTAAAGCCACAATTTTGGAAAAGTGGATTAAAATTATTTGCAAAAGTAAACAAAAATAGAATTAACAATAGGCAAAAATATTGGTTTCAAAAAGATAACCGATAAATCAGCGTAGGTAATCGAATATTTTCTAATACTTTGCAGAAAATACTATAATTAATAATGGATACGCGTTTAATCAGAAACAAATCGTTTTGTAATTTTATGTTTATGTATGCAGTTATATTCAAATGAATCAAAACTATTGTTATTGATGAGTCTTGATTCCATATGTTATAGGTATATTAAAAAATAAATAAATTTGCCAGGTATTTCAGACGACGTAGTTTTGTGTCTATTACGAAAATAATTTAATAAATATTGCCAGTCGAAAATGGAATTAAATTGTGTACCTAGTAATACATGAAATCTGAATGAAGGAGGTTTAATCATGAGCGAATTTGAATTTTCTCAAATAAAAGATTAATTGAACCTTGATTGAAATTCATAATTTTGACCTTCCAGATAAAAATAAAAAATATATAAAAGATATGTGTTATTTTCTATTATTACAATGCCACTTGTTTATTTATTGATTTTCGGTTACGTATAAAGGATTTATGAATATGAAAGAATTGGAGATATGCAAATAAAATGTAAAATTAAGTCAAAATAACACTTCCACATACAATTATTATGAATTTGATGAAAATTAATTTTACTTATGTAAAGAACAAACGACCCACGCTAAATAGTTATAAATATTTACAAATAATAAAACAGTGGTAGTTATTCCTAAATTAGAAATAAAAATGAGTGCTGCATAGTCTAATTTGGAAAATTCCACCTCTACAAATCATCAATTTATTCATCGAATTTAATATTTCTGACTATTTTAAAATTAACTCAAACTACCGTATTGTTTGTTTGAAACCAACTGTAAAGTATTATTTTAAATATACGAACGCAGAATTATAAATGATTAGTATGAAAAATATTAAACAATGTTAAAAAAGATTTATTTTTCTTGTATGATGTATTTTTAACCAGTCACGACTGATTTTAAATTAGTTTTCAACATCTAATCGACAATTAATTAAAAAAAATATATTCGCACTATGTTAAAACATAGTTATGTCATTTAAATTTGTATTGTTGATCTATGTAGTAAAAATCTAAGTGATTGAACCCACTTTTTTTGTTCAAGGCTGTTCACTTACGAATTAAAATTAAACCAAAAATGATCTCATAACCTATTTGCATTCATGTTCAAAACCAAATACACATGCGAATGGCGAATTTAATAATTCTTGTTTGGTACAATATTAATGACCAAGTACAAACACCAAAATATCTACAATAGTGGATAAGTACATGTTATGTTCAAGCAATGAATATCGAAGTGTTTGTATTGGAATTATTTACATGGATTTGTGGAGATTAAACACAACTTTTATACGGTATTACTTTATATTCATGTTTAATCATACAAGCACTTAAAATACGAGTAAATACAAGGTCATTCATTCAAAAAGCTTAGATACTCCTTCATTATAAATTTCTTGTATTTTTAAAATACTAGTAAAATCTAAATGTTATTTACTGTAATTATTTTCTAATTATAGCACATTATTTGCTTCAGAAAACGATCAACTGAGGATGTTTAAGAAAACGGAAATAAATTTGAAGAATAATTTACAAATTCTACCAAATTCGCAAAAACCTAATGATGAAATTTTAAGATTTCCTTTCACCTGCATCAAATTTTTAATGCGCAGTGTAATAATCAAACTTTTTTTCACTTAGTGTTATCGTTACACTTATGTTTCGACATTAATTTATAATTTGATACGGTACGTGTTATTAGAATTAAAATGACATCTGAAGTATAAAATTTCTTCATTGTTTCATTACGGAGTTTTTTTCTTAACATACCGGAGGTTTTGTTTTGCTTTATTAAATATATCGTATTGCAGAGGAAAATGCTTTGTTGACATAAAAAAATAAATCAAACATTAAGGGGTCAATAAAATCATTATTACCCTGCGTAAATAATATCTATGTTATTACTGCCTATGCAAAAAATAGTTAAACGTATTTTTTTTAAATATCAACTCCGACTTACATGTAGATATTAATATGCCACGATAAAATATAATTAGATAAATATCAATTAATTTAGTTATGAACTAAATTTTTATCTCATCTGTAATGAAGGTTACAAAAATTGGAGATTATATATTCTGATTCTCTTTGAAAATAATGAATATATAAAGTGAAAAGTCACAAATTTATCGAATATCCTTCGTAGGTATCTACTTGGATTTTGTAATTTTCAATAATATTCTCTTGTTATCACGTTTATCTTAGTAAATCATGACAAAAAAGGAAAACTTTTGTGCAATACTTTGTAACAACAATAAGTTGATTCAGAAGAATCACCCAATACCTGGAAATTATCTGATGCGCTCTAAAATAAGTAATTAACACGGGTTTTTCATGATTACAAAACTGGGGAAAATTTACAAAAATTTTATTGAGGACACCTAGCTATAGCACGACAGTTAACATTTTATTTAAATGCAAATGCTACAAAAGGCGGACTATTCATAGAACTCGAACAATTAAGAAAATTGACACATCAGAAAATGGTATTTTCTGCGGTCGAAATTCTAAACTATTATGACATACCTAGTTAAAAATACCTAAAAGCTAGCCACTTTAAAGAAACAAATTCTATGGATTTTTTTAAAAGGTTTACAAACCATTTCAAAGAATGGAAGTAGCAAAGGGCACACGAAAAGATAAAATTGTGAATCTTTGTTTGCAAACAAATTCTCTGCCATGATAAAAAAAATAAATATTTACCTATGTAATGAACCTCAAAAAAATGATACCACGCTCTATTTTTTTACAGGAAAAAAAAGAACGTCCGGCTTTAGAAACAACAGTGACAAACTACCATCTGCACCACGTGTTTTATATTATTGACATCGAGCAAGACTGCGTATGTGTAAAATGAAACCGGCAGTGACACGTTCGACTACTACAAACCGATGCGTTTTCAGTGAAACTAACGAAAACGTAAACGAAAACGACAATATCACACCGGTAACTGCCTCGTGGTCTCGGATAGGTAGGCATAGGTAGGAAGTTCTTTTCACTCTCGCTCAAAAGTGTAGTAACTGCGAGGTTGCCAAGTAGTAAATATTAAAAAATTCCTGAGTAGAATTACACCAATAATGAAATGAATACGAAAGAGAATAGGAAGCTGGTAAAATATTACATTACACTAACAACCAATTCTACCTAACAAATGACTGATTAAAGCGTGAAATGAAGATCAACAATAGAAGCTAGCAAATATAAAAAATCCGACACTTTTGGTTTTGATGGAAAACCGGCAACACAGCTCAATTAATAATGCACATTTCTGAAATAACCACAACGAATGATTGGGCGTCCTTCCATTTCTCACGTACGCAACATCAGACGGCGTACGCTTACACTCACACACATAATATTCACACATGAATTAACAGGTTTTTTACACTAATTATTAGCAGTTCTATTATCTCATCGCCTTAAGTAAGATACCATATCTAGTAAAATTAGATAATATTTAATGTTACAGTGTTTAATTTTGTGAAATTTAAATTTATTATGATCAGTTTATTCGTATAGTGCGTTTAGTAACCTCTATTCCTTTAAGATCCTTTTTAAGTTTTAAAATTTTATGTTTCTAGATTTTCTTCCTTCTTTTTCTGGTATGTTTATAAATAAAGGCAAAAAATATGAAGACAGAAGAAATGAGATTAATAATTTCAGGATGTTTACGAAATGTTTGGACAAGTTTTGAAGTTGGATTTACAGGAAACGATCCTACTTCAAATTTTATTCATTAATATAACATATCGACTTATCATTAGGAGTTTAATCTTAATTTACCACAAAAAAGCCACCCATGTAGATTTTATAATGTGTTGCTTACCAAATCAATTTTTACTATCACTTTAAAAATTATAACAATGAAAATGTAGTAACCTCTATTCTTTTAACATCCTTTCAAGTTTTAAAATTTTATGATTCTAGATTTTCTTTTTTTTTATTTGGCATATTTATAAATACAGGCAAAAAATAATTGAATGGGTGATTGGAAAAAGGATAAAATTTCAAAAATATGGCGAATTAAAGTGAGATATCCACTTTGTTCTAATTTCTCCTATCTTCCCGCTGAACGCAAAAAAATTACCGGCCCCTTTCGCATCATAATTTTATTGGTGAGTGGAAAAAGGATAATCTATGAATTTTAACCAGGTTGTTTACTGCGCTGATCATGAATGGCAGATTCATCATTATTTTCCTATCAAAGGTCATAGTTTTTTGCATTGTAACAGAAATTTTTCACAAGAAACTAAACCCAAAGTTTCAAGTAAAACGGCTAAGTAATACCCGATACACTTAATTTCAAAAGCTGCTGGCCCCAGTGCTTCAAAAAGACTTGCAAAGATGTTGAAAAAAAAGCGATATTATATTTTATAACTTTTTTGCGTTTTGAGTGGAATAAGGAAAACATTTTTGTACTCTAAAATACCAATAGCTGGTTACCAAAGTGGTATAAACCGCTCAAACTTTGTCTTCAAACTTACTTTGTCAAAGTGTATAATTGGCTTATAGTCCAATAATATCTACCTAATGATATTTGTTAAATTATCGGTTTCGTCGCAAAAGTTTTTTTTTTGATTTTCCAAAAATAAGGTTCATTGGAACTTTATCCTTTTTCCAATCACCCATTCAATTATCAAAACAAAAGAAAGGAGATTAATAAAGTCACAATGTTTACAAAATGCTTAGACAAGTTTTGAAAGAAGGATAAGATTTAAAGCAGGGAACTATCCTACTTCAAATTTCATTCACTAATTTTAAGAAGTTTATTCTTAATTTCCATAAAAAAACCCACCCATCTAAATTTGAGTACCTAACTCAAAACAAATATCCATTTTTATACCATGTTGCTTGCGAAAATAATTTTTACTATCACATTTTAGTTTTATAACAAAGAAAATAAATACTCTTTTACAAGATAAACGATACAAGCATAGTACGAAATGAACGTTTCGTCCAAATTCGACACAATTTCTACCAAATCTAACGTAAATAAAATCATTAATATTCACGTTTATAATCCATAGGTCACAAATTCACAGAATAAACGAGTTTTTAACGGTTTTTTCCATAGGAAAACGAGATCAGGTATTACGAGACGCGGAACTTTCCTTTAACATAAAGGGCACCCGACAGACTGCGTCGTTCGAAAAAGGGTCTTGTTCAACACAACGGCGTGTATGAATGAGGAGTCCTCTGGGTCACTGGGCGGCGGGGAAAAGAGGATGCGCAGGTTGTATTTTTCAAGGACAAGTCCCCGACACTGCGACAGCGCGTACAAAAATACAATAAAAATGCATCATCTTAAATGCAATCAAAATTTTTGTGTTACAAACATGTTTATTTTTACGATTGTTCTTTTCTTGCGCATTTTAATTGTTAATTTCCGCGTCTGGTTATTTGAATTAATAACCAGCATAAAAAATCCTATAAGGAAAGAGATTATAAATTTTCTCGTAAGAAGATGCTGTGGGATATTCGTAGCGAAAGATTAATCGTTTATCCCAAATCAAAAATAGGTCGATCGATACACGTTGTGCGTCGTATTGAGAATATTTGCCGCGCAAGAAGGCAGACTGTCCTGGTCCTAATGTTGCCATATCTAAGGATTTACGAAACTGCACAAGAATTACTCTGATAAAAAAGTTTAGGACTTTAAAAGTAATTAAAAATTGTCTTCGGCTTGCAGCGTAACTTATCTTTTAACGTCCTTATTTGTATATTTCCGTTGTTTTCTTCGAATAAATTGCTTAAATAGGGTTTGGTTAAGTTTTAGCAATTAATACAGACGGGCATGAAAATACCTCAATTAAAACTTGTAAACTAACGTTGATTGATTAATTTTAAGATGATCCTTTCGACCTTACCAAATGCGACATAATTACTTGTTATATTTTAATTTTCTCGAGTTGCGAAACGAAAAAGGTAAAAATACAGAAACAATCAAATGACTCACCGAGTTGCTGCTGTTTCTGAAAAAGAAAATGCAAATTATTAGAATAATAAATACTAATTCGCAAACATACGTTAATATAAAACATAAAAAAGGGAACAGTTAATGTAGTTATGATATTAGCATTATTGAAATTTTAAAAATTGTTAAGTATATTGTAAAAGATACACTGTGGTCATAACTTTTAAACCACTCAGTATAACATTATACAATATTATATTTTTGTATATTAAATTTAATTTCTTGACTTTTTTCCGTACAAAAATAAATGCATTCATTTGTACATTGCCGCTACATTAGCCTCTGTGCTAAAATTAAATACTTTTTTTTTAAATGGCCCCAAGATTCACCCCCTTAAATATTAGCACGCCATTATGGAACACCCTGTATGTAAATATAAAATCAGTCAAATATCTACTCGTAGTTCTGTTTCAATAACGTTATATAATAAGTACAAAATGTAAGTTCTTCGCAAATATTCGAAACAATAACGTTATTAAATTTACAAAAATAAAGAGGAAAAAGCGGTTTACTCGTGCTCTAACATACATAACAAACATTTTTCATTAATGTAAATATTGATAGATATTATGATTTTTCGACGATCGCATTACATTTTAATACAGCAACGTTATACCGCTAACATGAGAGAACCAGGATGTTTTTTCGCTAGAAATGTGCGCAACATTTTAGTATATTTATTACATACTAGCAATATACCTCTCCCAGTAATTTATTGCCTAAAAGGCTCTGTTTTATTTTATTTTCCCCACTCTAAATACTATTTTACAGTATGGCAATTTAAATTACCATGGTTATATATCTCACAAACGAAAGATGATATCAAAACATGCCTATAATATGAAGGGGAACTAAAATTACATAAAAGAGAACTCACCCCAATGGACCCCTTGGCCCCTCCTACCCCAATAAAAAATTTAAATAGAAAACCCCTACTTGTGATACATCATTAAAAAGCTTACAAAAAATGCTATCCAATAGACTAAATAATAATTGCACAGAATGTGTTAAAAATTACCAAATTAATATCAAACAATATTAACAACAAACAAATCCTAACTTGTGATACAATGTTAAAAAGCTCCAAGAAATCCGCAGTGGTACTTTTTTGTTAAATAACTATCATCTTTCGTTGCAAATTGTTTTTAAATTGTCCACATTGTATAATAATATACAGCCAAACAAATCCAGATAAAAAAAAATACCCTTTGACCCTATAAACAATCGGCATACATCTAGCATTAATACATGTACATTTTTGTTATCGTAGCCTAGGTTTCAAGGTAGGAGATTAATTATGATTTTTCGTTAATTATTTCATTACACATGTTTTCGACTTTTTGAATCAGCTGTTGGTATCAACTCCAAATCGATTTTAGATGAATAATGAAATACATTTTAATGCGTTTCTTCAATGTTAACTAGATTTTTAGAAAACAATTTATGAATCTCGTCCAAACTTCCATATTAGTAAAAGTGGGAATTTTGATCTTTTAGAATTCATATTTATTTATAGATATTTAAATTGGGTACTTAAACACTAATTTTTTGTTCAATTCATTTATAATTCCTTGTTATTGTAATCGTAATAAAAAGTTCACAGCAATAGTCATTTAATAATTAATTATTAATTAAATTTGGGTTAATTAGTACGTACACCTATAATTAATCATTTTTTATAAATTAAAGGTCTCCTGAGAAATTAAATTATAAAATAATAAAGTAATTTAAGTAGTAATAAAAATGATGTGTACCACCATTCTTTTTATTTAATTATTAGGTACTTAAATAATTAAGGATTATTGCAGAATTAAGGTCGAGATTTTTTATAATTCTAAGTAAAATTTGAGTATTTTTAGCTCTTAGATTTTAGCTCCTATGTCGAATTTTTCTAAATATGCCTATGCAAACACATGAAAATCAGTGAATTTTGATTGTTTAATTTCTATATTTGGAATAAATTACCCTAAAATTTAACTTTAAAATAATCCTATCCAAAAAAATATTTTTAGCAATTATCAATACGTATGCCTATCATTACAAATTGCAATTATTGTGAGCCATATGCGTAATCACGATTTAAATAAGTTTCAGATATTATTTTTGAAAATGCGTAGATGAAATCGAAACAAATATTTCTTACATTGTTATAATTAACAGCGAAATTCCTCAAACCAGAAGCCTCCAAGCTCCTCGGATCCAACGAATTACTCCTCGGCTTGCTAAACCGTTGAGGAGCATCCTCATCCTTGTGCTTGCTGTGTATCCACTTAAAATATTGCGACATTTCACGCTTGTATTTCCACAAAAGAACGATTCGCCCAGTCACATTTTATTCGCGAAAAAATCGGACGAAAAACCATTACAAAACGTTTCGTTTACTTTGAATATGCCGTACTAAACTGACACCGAGCAGCGAGCATTACACATAGGAATTATAATCGCTTTAAAATTCAATGTTAGATAATTTATTGTTTTAACACCGGCATTGTAAATTCGTTTTTGACAGGACGAAGTGTTTGCGCTAATTTTATTTATTAACTTTACGATTATCTGATAAAGATTTATCGGAAAATATTTGGAAACTTGCGCGATGCTTCCGATACGAAAAATATTTGTTTCTCCGGTGATGTGCTATGTTAGACTACCATTAGCAACAATTATATTATTTGTGATAATGGTGCTGGAGTAGTGGTAAAGTCAACAATACGTTAATTTAGTACTTTTTATGAATTTTTGTCGTTTGTCGACGACTCGATGAATAATTTTTTTTAAATACATATGCAGGTATTCAGGTAGGAATTTCCTATGTAAATGAACTAATTTGTGTAAGTAATCTCCCTCGAGTGTTTCTGTTATTATTACGCTTATTCTTACAGTTAAAATATAATAAAATTTCTTATTTAGGAATTTTACAGATGGAAAAGTGTAGCACGATAAGCTATTTTAGAAAACATTCACTTGCAACATGAAAAGTAACGACTGTTAAAACGAAACCGCTTTATAATCCATTTAATTCGAAAAGATTTTAACTGCCTAAATTTTATGCAGAGTTATTAAATAACGCGAAATTTTATTGTCCATTTCGATAGTATCCGCAGTTTTATTTATCAATTTTATTGTAAGTAGTAGACTGTAAATGTAGTCTAAAAATAATTTTATATTTTTAGTTCGCTTCAATAATCGATTAAAAACGATAAAATTCCAATATTTTCTGCATTTGCACAAAGTAAAACTCTTTAAGCACGAATTAAAACTGCAATATATTCACATGATTTTTCACGAGTTAGTCGTAAACAGAAATCTGCTTACCAGCACTTATCGCACCGAACTAATCCAATTTCTCTACAAAACAACAATTTTGTTATTAATTTTTTTTTCTCTACAGATAATTAGCATTAATTCCGTGGTTAAAGGTTCCAGTAGTAATTACTAGCGAAAGATTATGTCATTAACATGGACATAAATTAATACTCTTAAATACAACAAATTTAACAAAAAAAACTAAGCAACGGAAATTAATTAACCAATTAGTACGAGGGCCATCTAATTGTTGTTAAAAAAGTATTTGTGTGTTATTTTTTTGTGCATTGAATAAGTGAACAAATAAGGATTTTTTTAACTATTTAATTTTGCACTGCCACTAAATTATTTAAATTGAACCAACTTCTCTTTCACATCATTCAATTTTAACAATTATATCCGTGTTGTTAAAGAACAAACTGAATTGATTAAAGGAAAATATCCACTGAGAAAATTGAAGTGTGTAGATACTTACGTATTTCTATTCATAAAATATGGCGATAATTACGAATCTAAATTTATTTAAGAAATTACTTCAAATTGTAATAATTATGCTGAATATATTTATAATTAGCCTTGTGAAGCCTTTTAACAAATAGAAATGAGTTAACACTCGAACATTAAATGCAATTACTGAATCGTTTAGTAACAGGTAAATATTATTAAAGGTTTTGGGTAGATGCTACATGGAATATCAGAAACGATTGCTTTTAATTTGCAAAACATTACAAATTTATTATTGAAGCGTATGAACTCGGAAAAATATAAACATAACAAATCTAAATGGAATTATTTCAATTACTTTTAAACATACAGGGTGGGTACATGGAAATTGTTCAATATACAGGGTTAAACAACATATTTTGGGCTCCCCTACACAGCCCTGCTCAGCGTCGGTTCTTAAGCAGGACACCCTGTATCTGTTACTGTAGGTAATTTCAAAAAAAGTTTCTTAACAAAAATTACAGATACTTTTATGCTGCATGTTGCATAACTTATACTTTTTTAAATAAGACACCCTGTTTTTTTTATTCAAAAATTGAATTTAACTCGTCTTCAGCTTTCCAAAAATATGGTAGTGTGTAAAGTTATACTGAGTGGATTAAATTTAAAGTTATGACCACTTTACCATGAAAATCGTACTAATTTTACCATTTTGTAGAAATTAAATGGATTGAATTAGAAATAAATTGTGGCCTTCACAACATCGTAAATATCGCAAATATCGTGAAAATGTACAAAATAAATATTTTTGGTAAATTTTATTCATATTAAAATAACCCTATACAGGTTGCTTCATTTTTGATCGCAACATAGGTTATATAGGCCATGGGTGCGATAAAGACAACTTCCATTAGACACTTACAAAGGAAAAGGAAAGAGTGACATTTGTGTCATTGCAACTTTTCATTCTGACAACTGTCATTTTAATTTTAATAATCTTTCTTTGTTCCACTCATAGAAATGACCATGTTGCATTCGGAAATGGAGCAAGGTGTATAGTAAAAATGAAGAGATCAAAAAGAGATAAAAAGATCTTTAAAGAGCTTTCATTCTTCCCTATATCTAAATTTAACACTTTAACAATTTAACACTTCGAGGAAGTGCAAAGCAAACCTCTCGTATTGTAAATAACAAATCCTCTAAATTGTAAATCTCGCTCGAATTCGACTATATCTCAACACCGATAGTTACCTATATTACCAAGTTAGATACGTACTTTCTTCCTTTCATCCGGAGGCACGCTGACGTGCGATCTGTTCCTAAATATATCCATAACTTTGGTCATTGGATTGCGGCTGGAAGATGCGGCTGTTACGGTATGGTAGTAATGCGTATCCGAACCGTCTCGTACCGGATGAGCAGAGCCATCTCTCGGCGCTTTCGGTCGTGAATGCATGATACCTCCGGAATACTAAAAAGATTAATTAACATCTTAAAATCTATTATGTTATTACATAAAACGTGTTGTTATTTTCCTCAACTGTAGCGGATCATTTTGTAGTTGCTCTTAAGGGCGATAGTTCAGGGTATTTTTAAATGGGAAAACATAGGTTCAGTAATTCTAGTAAGATTCAAATTTGGCTTCATTAATTGATTTGAATCTTTTTTATACCTAATATAGAGATTCCAAGCAATGATATCTCCTATTTTTAATCTCACATACTTCATTGCATATTTAAGAAAATTGAAATCAAAAACGGGCATTTATATGCAGTGCTCTTTAAATAGCTAAACGTATTTCTGTAAAACTCGAGTTTCATTGAACAAATGTGAGAATAATTGTAGTAGGATAATTGTAGTATTACAGAACGATATCTCCTAGTTTATATTGATCCAAAGGCTTAAATTGAAAAAAAAACTAATTATATAAAGTTTTTTTAGCAAATGATGATAGATTACTGTAAAATTATGGTGTCGCCTGACATAAATGTCAATCACAAAACAATTTTGCAAATTTGTTCAGATATTTTTCCTCGCGTAAAAAAATAAAAACCAAAACAATTTTTTCCCAAGTTCATTGAGACTGCTTTTGATATTTTTTTTGAAATTTGGAAGGCGGCCACCATGCATGGAAACACTTTTTTTGGAACAAAAATTAATTTTCTACTGTTTCCAGTGACGTCCACGTTCGAAATTTTCTTAAAAAGTATCTGGAGGAATAGGAAAAATATGATAGAAAGCTTATTTTTTGTCTAAAACTGTAACACCCAGTAGCTCGCAAACTAAGAGGTTTAGACATATATTGATATAAACTTTTCTTCTTAAAATCATCCAATATTCCAATATTCCAAAATATTCACATCCTGAAATATCGGCACTCAATTAATTAACACCCTGTATATTTTTAACAGTTAGCGAAAAGTCTAACTGAAGGCAATAAAATGAGCATTCTATTTCTTTGATCTCTATTCGCTAAGCTTTTAACAAAAGCTCGGCGATTACAAAACCAACCTTATCCTTCTTCTTTTCCTTCCGCTCTCTTTCCTTCTCCCTATCTCTATCGTCGTCGTGGGGCGGCGTCGGAGACGTGTGGGGCTTCCTGAATATATCCATGACTTTCATCATCGGTCCTCGACTAGCCGAAGCAGCGGCAGTCACAGTGTGGTAATATTTAGTATCGCTTTCGTCGTCTTGAACCGGATGGGCCGAGCCGTCTTTGGGTTTTTTCGCGTGCATCAAGCCAGTGTGCTAAAATAAGATAGAAAGATTTAGTACAAATGTTAAGTAACAACGAATTAAGTCTTGGAGACAGTGGTTATTAAATTTTTATTAGATGATTACACAGTAACTTACCACCATCGCACTTTTCATAGAAGCCATGAAAGTACTGCCCTTTCTCTTTCCGGCATCTGAATTTGACCTAAAAATAGACGAATTGTCTTAATTGTGTATATTTTTGATCATTACAAATATTTATAAGCTTCTTGCGTTCTTTTTTCTGGTTATTTATGATATTAAAACCTTAAGTATTCTGTTCACAAACAAATGCAGACAAATCGTTTGTATCCAGTTTATTCATTTGTGACTATGCTTCTGATAGAGATATAGTTTGTGAGTAACTTAACGTTTATTGTGATCTATAAAATTAATTATTTACGATAAAGGTTTAACGTATTTAAGTGAGGTAGAAGTAGTGGAAAAGCTTAAATGATCGAGACATGGAGAATTCTAAATGATAATACAAGTCCATATTGTAGAGTAGACCAATAATTGTTTAAAGAATTTATTTTTCGAAATATTACTAAGAATATCTAAGAAAGTAAGAAACATTTAATTTTTCACTCATTATAGATGTTACAGTTAATACGTTGTTGCCATATCGTTACTCTCAAAATACCGCTCTTTCTAGTTGACAGGGTTCGACTACAATTTGTCATTTTTGACTTTTTAGACATTCTAAAATCATTCTAAACAGTTTTTAATGATTCTGGAGCGTTCTAAATAATTCTAGACAGTTCTAAATGCTTCTGTAGCGTTCTAAATGGTTCCAGACAGTACTAAATATTTCTGGAGCATTGTAAATGGTTGTAGACACTTCTAAATGCTTCTGGAGTGTTCTAAATGATTCTAGACAGTTATAAATAAATCTGAAGTGGTCCAAATAATTCTAAACAGTTTCTAAATGAATCAGGAGTATTCTAAATAAACATAGACAGTTAGAGACAGTTCTAAATGATTTGTACATTTGTACATTATACAAGGAGAATTTAGATTGTGTTAAGAATGGCAGGTAAATTTTTTGTTAATTTACAAAACGTTCATTTTACCTGTTCCTGAAGCCGTGCTTCTTGGGGCTGGAATCGATGGAGCCGCGCCGTTCCGACGAATTCGACCGCGACGTCGAGGCGCTCATGGGCTCCTTTTCTCTCTTGCGCTTCGACTCATCCTTGGATTTGTGCTTGTCCGGCTTGGAGCCCCACGTACCCGACCTCGGCCTGGGCAAGTGCGAATCATCCTGAGAGGTTTGAGAAGCTGGTTGTGAACCGGATTCCTAGATCGAAACCAAACAATTTAATCAAATATTTCGTTTATCAAATTAAGTACAAGGAAAACAACGAGGAAAAAAATATGGAAGGAAATAGGAATTGTTAGGGATTGCCGGCTAGTATGTCACAATGTCAGTTGTAAAGTAATTGGTATAATTAAACAACGATGTATGTAATTGGGTAAGTAAATGATTCGGAAACTAATCAGGTACTATGTAGATTTTTTTATCACATGTATGTTTTAAGAGTTACTACATTATTATTCAGATATAACGCAGGAAAAATGTACCGGTTTTCCTTGGAATTATAATGCAACAAAATATCAGACTGATCTAAAAAAAACATGTAAGAAAAATGAAATGACAATAATTCACCGGAAGAAAATAAATACGAATATGTGGAAACAATTACCACAATAAAGGCACGTTAATGAAAAAAAAATTTATAAATTCATTATCTCGACCGCCGAAATTTTGATTGCAGGACAATAATTTGCTTACCTTCCATTTCGTTATCCAAATATTCGACATGTTTACAGTGTAATAGCGTACAATATTATCATTTAAAAATGCGAATAGGTTTATACACACAGTACAAAAATAAAAATACTGTATCACCTGACATAGAACTGGAAATATAATAAAATAAATATCACTTACTTAAAACAATTGAATTATATACACGTCGTCGCACGACGAAAGAATAAACCTATTAAGTTTTATATTACAGTAATTCGTGCACAGAACGGTTTAGCGAAAACCCGACATCCCCTCTCGACGGAACGGTAAACTCAATAAAGGGATAATAATTCATAACATAATCCAGTTAGAACGTCGATTTAATTTAGTTTATTCGTAACTAAAACTAGTACGTACTTTTTTGATATCAGGTCTTTTGACCCAAACATCTTCTATAGCGTCATTGTTGACGGTACTAGTGCTAGACGTTGGACTTTTCATGGCGATCAGCGACGAATCGAAGAATTTAGAATCGTAATGGGGACTCTGCACTCTGAATATATTCCTCACGGACGGTCTGACGGCGTCCTTCGAGGGGACGCCCAACACCGTATTGGCCACCCTGTATTCCCTGTTCCTGGCGAAAATCTTGGCGGCCGCCGATAGTTCCTTCTGTTTGCTATTGGTTTCTTCTTTAACTTCTTTGTTGTTTGTTGTATCACTCTCCTTTTTGGTCTCGACAATGGTTTTGGTTTTGGTTATCACGAATTTGTGGGTAGGGCCACTGATTGTATCTATCACAGACGTTTTGGATCCACTGGACGATTCCGAAAGGGATTTATCGCTACCTGGAGGTTTTTTTTATTGTTTTCTCGATTATTATTCTATTCATCGGATGTTGCAAATATCGAGGAGGACTTAATCGATTTCTGTGTCTCCAAAAATAACTAATCGAATGCAATTAAATTACTCAAATACACGACGGCGAATCAAACGTGAACCGGAATTTTGCTTTAAAAAAATTATTAATAAATTAAATATAATTATGTATACATCTTATTTTTCTATGTAATCTCCTCTTTTATTACCACAAATTTCCAACCGAATCGGAAGTTTTTTAATCCTGTTATCAAAGAATGAATAGCAAAGTACGCACAAACGTTTCCACACCTTCGTAGTCGTTGAAGTGATGACTTCCTAGTTCTTCTTTGAGTGGCCTAAACATGTGCTGGTTACATGGCGATAAATCGGGACTGTAGGGTGGTTGTTCTAGAGTATTTTCCAATGCATTTTGTCCAATTTTTCTTGAGTTAATGGAGTTGTGTGTGGCCGAACGTTGCCATGGATCAAAATCGCACTTCGAATATGCATGTGCTGCCTTTTTCTTCGATAGACTAGCTTCATTTCATCTAAAAGTTGGCAGTAGTACATACCACTAACTAAACGTCATTCATAAAGAAAATCTAGGCGCAATATGCTCACTACAATCCCAAAAAAATCGTTGCATGAACTTTCCTAGCAGAAAGACGAATCTTGGATTGTCCCATTGCTGCTCCTCCAGGTTTTCCAAGATTTTCTATGCCAATCGTGGACATAGATCCTTGAAAGGATGTTTCCAGTGAACTGTGCAGTTACTCGATGCACAATTTTGCCAAGTTTTATGCTTTCCGGCGACAAAAATTTAATAATAATGCGTTGCTCAACAGACCTGTGCACCTCTTGCTCAGACATCGTCTCTAACGAGCCGAACTGACTTACTCACCTTTACTTTATATCAAGATGTCTTGTTAGGGAGAGTTAAGAAGATAATTCCGGTTCATATTTGATTCACCCTTGTAATATATAAAAACTAGTCAGAAACCGAGCAAACCTCCCTTATTGCATTAATCCTCACAACTAACCGGAAATAACTTCCATATTCGAAGGCTCCCTCTTCTCCTCATCTTCGTCCTCCTCTCGACATTGGGACAACCTCCTCGACGCCATCGTTATCTTCGACGGCAGGCTGTTGCTGTGGTTGCTGAAATACCGGTGCAGGAACGTGTTGCTATCCTCCTCCGGTGGGAATTCATTGGAGTTCCCGAACGGGGACGAAACGTTGTAGTTGATAGTCTGGACCAAATCCGGTTCGATGTCGCTTTCGTCCGACGATGAGTCCTTCTTAGAATTGAAATTCGTGTGATTGGAATTCGAATTCGAATCCGTCGTCGGTGGTTGCGCTTTTTGTGTATCGTCCGCTATCCTGTTCGTTTCGACGGTAACATTTGTGTCCATCTGCGTTAAGATAATTAATTATCTTAAGATAATTACGATTAGTCAAATATTTTATTGATAATTCAATTATTGAATAATTTATTTATTTGTGTACTTAGACTAATTTTAGTACTTGAATTTGCAAATTTATCTGTAACTTTTGTTGTATTTGTATTTTTATCTTACAATATTCCACAATTTCATTAAATACATCTACATAAATGAATCCAAAATTGTTATTAAAAAACATTTCCAACTCTATTTGCGAGGCATGAATGGTTTATTTATCATTTTAGTCATAAATACAGAAAAACAAGATAATTACTAACAGCATAAATTCTAACGATAGTTTTAACTACTTAAAGGTTTGTGTTGCTAACCAGGAAGTTATGATCTACTAAATTTTAACAGGTTTTGACCCATATTTACCCAATGCTTTGCTTTTCAGATCAATGTTATTTCAATCAAAATTAAATGCGAAATTCCACAAAGTTCAATTAAAAATTAGTATTATCGGATAAAAATACGAATAATAATTAAGCGTATTAATAGCAAACTGGAATATTGGTTGGATCAATTTAACCAATAATTATATTACGTTGTTCTTTTCGAAATGGTAAATTATTCATTCAAATTGTTATACAGTTGAATAATTTATCAGGACAGTTTATCTTAAAATTCAATAAGTGATTAGTTTCAATAATTCATATAAAAGAAAATTTTTACAAAACTAATTCGAAAGTACCGATTCATATTCGATAATCAGAAATTTTCTTTATAAAGCACTATACCAATGTATGTTAATGATAAATCATTCATTAGAGTCATGAGCTAGTACTTTTATGTAAAATAGTTGCAAAAGATCCATATTTGTGAAATTATTGCACAACGATTAATCAGGCATTCAATTAAAATTTGAACAGCAGCAAAGTTCACCATTGTCCATTAAAAAGTTAACTAGGTATATTCAACGTTAGTAATCTCATTAGATATACGTTTGCTTCGTGTTTTGTTGGAACGAACGCAAATTCGAGTAGGTGGTATTACAATACTTTTAACAACTGTACAAAAATTACACTGGTGTATTAATAACTAAAAAAGGATGAGTGATAATTGAGAGGCTTACAAATCAGCCTGCAGTCTAGCTTTGCCACATTTATCTACATATAATCATACATTGTGATAATACCAGAAAAACGAAAGTCATGAATGTTACATAAAATACAACTAGTTTATTACAAATAAAAGTACCAAATTGTGCACGTATTTCAGCGATTTACGCCAACTACAAATTAATCCATTTACACAACTTTAACGCTGATGAATAAATATGAATAAAATAGAAAAAAAAAGTAATGGAATTTTTGAGGTTACCTTTGGTATTAGACATTTAATTCAGCATATAAATATGCGTAATACATTCTTATCATAAGAATCTTGATGCACTATAAATCACTACGGGTTTTTTTGATGTTATTATTACACACTTTTTTAATTACAACTCAAAAACTGTATCCACTTTATCCACCTTGTGTGACTATTCACTATTTTTAGACTTGTAGTCGAACATGTGGTAAATTAAACGACCAATTTTCGAAAGGTTTTTAAATAATTAACGCAGCTAGTTTCCAGGAATTTCCTCGCGTTCTCCATTAAATGGAAATTTTTAATTCACCTGAAAAAGCACAGGAGGCAACAACGTCGCCATATCAGCTGATTGTTTAATGTTAGAGCGGGAGTGACTACTCAAACGAACGAAATGTCACTAAACACGAAAAGTTTTAATTTTAATTGAAATTCCAATTTATCGGGGAGTTATGTATCTTCCAATTCTACGTTTAATTCCGTGAACATCTTGATTTGTCGAATAGAGCAAACAAACAAATTAATTGAGTGGAAACAGAAGTTAGGCATAAATACACTAGTAGATAGGCAACATACAATACATTTATTAGTTTTTCTGAAGGTCACTTAGTGGGCGATTAAAAGCGTTCTCGCGGTTGATTAAACACTAAAATAAGTGTTAAAATTTATAGAGCAGCACCAGCATTGCGTTCTAATCGAAAAATATTATATTTAGTGATGTCATCTGTCAAAGTCACTGATGATATGTCATTGCAGAGATAATTCCAGTGGCGGAGAAATTTTATTTTGAATAGGTAAAAATTTAAAAAAAATCAGAAACCTAGATAAAATACGTGTAAGGATGAATATGTTACGGATAAAGTTATATAAACAACTAAAGCTAGGTTTAGCCGGGTAAATTGCGAAATACCCAAGAAACATGGGTAAGGTAGGCTAGGATAGGGTAGGGTATAAAGGGTAGGTTTTTTGGGTTCCCGTTATATCACGTGAAACCTACCCTACCTTACCCTACCCGTATTTCGCAGTTTACCCGCGTAAATCTAAGTTTAGTCTTATTCGTTTATCTAACTTTACCCGTAATAAATACTCGTACATTCCATAAATGCGAATCAATATATGAATTCTATTAATAACAATACCCAGAATTCCTAAATTGCTCTTTAAAGAAAATTTTCCCTTGATTCTTTCTCGAGGATGTAGTTTATGTTAAGAATCCATCTAGGATAAGCCGTTCTCAGGAAACATCTCCATAAAGAGCATTAATTACTGAATTTATTCATCTTCAGACCAAACTAAAATTACTTGTCCCCAACTAGCAAACCTATAGCTACAATTAGCAACTGAATGGAATGTACCATATCCCTATATCCCCTTCCAGGATAATTTTACAATCTCTTACCGCACATTCGCTGCTGTCATCTTGGCTGAAGTCCCAGGAGGGGGCGGGCGAGGCGCATCTGCTGCTGTTCGTCGTCGACAACCTGGATTTGTAGGGCTCAGTCTGGGACTCCTCGTCCGAATCTAAAGCGTGGTCTTCTGGAATACTGGCGAAGGGCTGGCCTCGATGGCGGGACACCGGCGAAGCCGATTCCACACGACATTCCGAGCTGCTGTCGTTGACAACGGTCACGTTGAAACGTCGAACGGCGACCGGTCCAACTCCTGCTGCAAAAAGCAATAAGTTTATTGGCGAATTTAAGTTTCCTTTGGATTGTTCTGAACAAACTAATCAACTACTATTCTAGGAAGTCTCAACAGAAATCTTTAATGTTACAACCAAGAGGATTCTAATAGAGATTCTCAAGTCTTGAGCTTTGTTTAAGAGCTTGAGTTTTCTCCACTATTAGATAGACTGCTTACTGGGTTGATTTTTATAGCCACTGTTACTTCCTTTCATAAATTAAGCAAGACCCATACAATCTTTCAGGGATTAAAAGAGAAAGGAATGTTTATGGTAAACTTGGTGTAGGTTGGTGGTGACAAAATATTTTTTTATCGAGATTACTTCAATTGAAAATATAATTAAGTTTGCTAACCTTGCCGTGGCTGACGTAGCCACGTGATTTTTTGAGATGACGACGTCTTGGAACCGCTCAAAACTGATTTCGTAAGGAAAATTTCACCTCACTAAACTGAAAATTAGTCCGAGGAACTTCAGAGCACGCTTGTATTCCATGTATAGTTTATCGTTTTTGCGTGGAAAATTCGACGGTTCGGGATCGTATGAATTTAATTGGACATGGAAATTACCTACTTATTGATTGTGAATGCCGATAAATTAATTAGGTTCTGGTTAGGTACACATCTGGAATAAATGTGGAAATTTCAGTTGCGTGCTGCGTAGATTAATAAAAATTAGGAAGCAAAATAAAAAAAAATCTATCAACAAGTTGATAAGCTAATAAATTATGTGTAGATTTTAGTTGAAGTTGATGAGGATAGAATAATGTTGAAACATTGATGAAAACAGAAGGAAATAAAATGTATAAGTATATTCGCAAAAATTATAAATAGAAATTGATAGAGTAATAGGCCAAAATTTCGGTCGTTTCCAATGAAAATATTAATAAATTGCATATAAATATAAAACGTGGAAACGACGTAAAAATTAGCTTCGAAAACTCGAACTAAGTACAAATATTTTCCTGATCTAAATTTAGATCAAACAAAGCACGAAAACAAGTTAAATAATAAAGATTTTCGCGCGGGCAAAAATTGACTATGTACTACTTAATAATTTTTGCAGCTCTACTACAGCTTTTCGACCATTAGCTGCAATTCAACGACGACTTGAAAAAATAGGAACGCGCACACGTTCACTGGTATTTTCAATTAACGTACTCGCACGGCCGCTTTTCCGGTCGAATTTCCGACACAAATTTTCAGAACTTCTATCGTTTTTCAGGATGTTACCGAATCGACTGAAACACTCAATGGCGCTCTGTATTCTAGGTCAGCGCGCAGTTGACACGTTTTCCCAAATCTTGGCAAACATCTGCAAGAATTATTTTTCTGGAATTTATTTGCATCGATAGAAAAAATAGTAATTACAAAAAGGTAATCGTTGTAACTCAACAAGACCTAGAGAGAACTTATACTGTTGCCCAAATTAATGATAGCACGGTGTGAAAAGGACAAAAATTTATTTAGTTTACCTGTAAGTATCAATTGGAAACCACTAGGTGGAATGTGGAATGACCACTGGATTGATTTTTATAGCCACTGTTACTTCTTTTCATAGATTAAGCTGAGCCATAAAACTCTTTAAATATAATAATATTAATAAAACACTAAATTTATAAAATGGGATTCTAAACTATCTAATGTAGGTGCGTCTGTAATACTAAATATTCAGGAACATTTGTTTATTGTATTAATTTACAACCTATTTTCGTACACAACATAGTGTGTTTTAAACTAAAAAACTAATATTTATTTAGATGGTCATCAATTTGGTATATTTGGTGTATTGTATATTGTATACAGCAAAACCATTATTGACTAATAAAAATTAATATACTCTATCTTAAACTTATTCGTGTTATTAACCTACTATCGTATCTTTGAAAGGCCATAAACTCGATTAAAAATGTCCAAAAATCCTATTTTAAAATGATGTTTGCAATTTTGAAATCGATGTAGTAATGTGGCAACGTCGCGCTGAAAAACCGGCGGTGCCGTCGAGACGGCCGCCGAAACGCTGGGTAGAATTAAAAATTGATTGCGATCCGTTACGACGAGCAGCGTCGCGACGCGACTGCCGGATCGTCGCTTCGACGTCGTTATTTTTCATATTTTTATTACGCGCTCTTTGTTATTATTATGTATATTCTCTAAACACGTATACTTCGATATAAAAGGACTCATTTTATAGGTTATTAATATGAAACAAATTTTTTTAATGTTTCCTCCTCATATTTTCTGGTTTACGTTATATCCAGTAAATACTAAAAAACCAATTACACCATTACAAAAAGCAATGTTTACGCATAATTAACATTACTTTTGTGGTAAATTACAGGTTACGGCCTTGGTAGCGATAATAACTAAAATTATCAAATTAAAATTATGTGTATTGACACCTACTTTGATCAACTGGCATATTATAACTTTTACCAAATAATCAGATTATATCTATATTAAAATCGAGAAAATCATATTACGCAATTCTTTGTTGCTATTTCTGATGTGCAGTTCAATCAAATCAAAATAAACCCTTACGTAATATTTAATAAGTATCACTAATGAATTACCAGAAATACTCAACAAATGAAATATCCTCATTAAGAAAAGTAAAATAAAATTAAACCATATTAAGCCAAACAGATATTAGAAAATGTTTAATAGAAAAGTACCTAATGAATGAAAAACACTGTTTCTAGCAATAACTATTAGGTAAAATGTATTTTTTTGTAGTTTAACACTTCCAGTTAAAAACATTTTTGGAACTATATGGAATTAGAAAATAAACTCGCAATTTAATTTTAGTTTCATGTTATCAGGAGACCTTTTGACATGAAGAGCGATTAATTATACGTTTTAACTAATTTATATAACACTTTTTGTGATTGCTGCATTATTAAAGAGAAAATTGTCGATTTTCAATGTTACTTTCATTTTGAACTATTTACATTTGAAAAGGTACTTTCATTAAGTGTTTTTTTAAAGATGCAGCCTATTGACGAGCAGAGGGATTTTAACTATCAAAAGCCTAGTAAGTTTGCTTTAATAAATCCCTTTAGGTTATAGTACAATGATTGATGAAAATATTTATTTTTATCAATTTCAATTTTCATTTTTTAAGTTTATTTTCACTACTTTCAAGGTATTGATAATTGATTCAACAGAATCGTTCCGAAGAAATTTCAAGGATCTTTCCCAGAAATTTCTTATATAACCATCTATTGAATTGTTTACTGTAATCTTGCAACTTTTTTATACGCATTTTGTTAAACATTTCATAATCATTTAATTTAGATAATTAAAAGAAAATAATATACTGGGAATAGTTTACGTAAAAATTTGTATTTCCCAGCTTCAGGATAAAACAAGTAAAGTCAGTTAATTTCCAGAACCTCTTTTTAAGTACGCCGGGTGTTTCAGGTCTACATAACTCTGCCATAGAACACTTTGGTGAAAAAGGTTTATAGCATTGTTTATAGCATTTTTTAAGCAGCTGATTATTTATGCGCAATCTTGCATATCTTGAGGGGTTTCCCCGACTAAGTAAAGCCAAGGTAAAGCATGAGGAGTTTTCCGAACCCGTTACTGCGATTCCCAACCTGCCGCGATATGTCTAAAATCTGTAATTCATTACGGAATTGTATCAGTAACAGTCGGTTAACCGCAAACGTTACAATATTAAATTTGTGTCCGGAGTGTATGTACGCAGTATCTTCGTCATGGTACTCTGTTTTCCAAAACGATTATTTCATATAAAAGGTTTGTAGAGCTCGATTTTTTTGAAATTGTTTTGATCCATTCTACATTCATTTTCCTATTTTGGGATTGCCCAAAAAATGATAATTATTTGATTATTAAAAATTGTTTTAAATAAACATAAATAAATAATAATAAATATTGATATAACAATGTTTATGAAGATATTATTAGAATTTTCAGCAATTAACATTCAAATTTCACTCAAAAGTTGCAATGTTCATAAAAGTATGAAATAATTTTATACTAAATTTCATTACACCCTGGATAATTCTCTTAAAATTATTTATTTATTAACGATTATAATAGATATAACTCATAATCTAATCAAACTTTAAACGATCATAAAAATGAACTGATTAATCACTATTAAATTTCATTTATTCATAATGTTTAGTTTCAATACATTTACTAACTTAAAGTATATGAAAAACATTTTTCCGGCAATTCTATTATCTAATGCATTAATTCAGTAAACATATAACTAATAATGTCATTCAACATTTTATCTATTGAATTTAGAGTAGGTGAAAATTCCTGACTATCACAGTATTTATCCACAGTTTTTTTTCAAATATTATTTTTTTCAATCCATTGTGGTGAATTAAGTATCAATATTAAGTCAACGAATTTTGCGTAGATATCAGATTGATAGCTTTTCCAATTAGCATGAATTGAAAATATGCCGCATGATAATTTAAAGCAACACGCACTTTTCCTTCCGAAAAAAATCGTTTATTATAAACGTATTTACAATAATTTATTAGCAGACCTAAATTACTAGATTTGGTCTCAATAATATGGAGGACTTGAAGCTTTTATTAAATTTTAATAATAAAAATTATATATATTTTAATTATAAAGTGTTAATGTTTTTATAAACTCATCAAAATTTGACACTTTTTTGTATTAATTATGATTTATTAATTCTAGCCGACTTTTTCGGCGTCCGGCACATTCAGTATGTGATGATGTTCATTATTGTCAACATAGCTTATGGAACAAGGACCATATTAAGTATTGCCATATTTCCTATGACCAGGAAGTCAGTCGATAACCAAGGGATACCTGTAAGTAGGAGTCAATAAATTTCTACACAATTAACGCTTAAATGCTACATGAAGGTAAAATCTTTGTTATAAAATTCCAAACAAATATCGCATTACCCATTCAATTTTATAATTGTCCATTAAAAGTTAGGCACACGCTAAAACAACTTAAAACAGGTAAAACTAATATTATCTAAAACATTAACTAAATTCATCGTTATACGAGCATTTGAATATTTGACATTAAAAATTATGGACGTGTGAAGGTTATCGTGGTTTAAACGAAAAAAAGGTCGATGCTTCATTACAGTCGATATGCAACTTATCAGACGAGAATGGAGAATGAAAACTCAAAACATTTCCATTTTGCGTATGTATATCTACCATAATTTAAAGTCGTTAAAACTTAGATAAAAACCGATTTGTAAATGAACCATTACATTTTGACCTAAGGGAGATTAATAGATCTTCTAATATACAACAAAAATCTTACTTTCTAGTCGTATCCAGAATGGGAGGAGCACAAGAACATAATGCTCTCGTCGTTCTTTTGGGGCTACATTTGCTTCCAAGTAGTGGCAGGCCAGTTCATCAAAAAATGGGGGCCCAAGTGGTTCTTCGGCGGTGCCATGTTCATAAATGCCTTATTTTGCGCTCTAGTCCCTCCAGTTGGTGCCGCGACCGGATACATCGGCGTTATAGTCTGTCGAATTATCACAGGATTGACTCAAGGATTCATGTTTCCATCGGTGCATTGTCTGATCAGCTCGTGGACTGCTCCTCAGGATAGAGCCAAAATCGGGACATTTGTTTACGCAGGTAAGTGCATAAAAGAATCAACTTTTGTCTTTATGTATTCTTTATTGTATATTTATTTCAGCTGGACCTTTGGGAAACGTAATTGCTTTTCCTCTGGCAGGATTGATATCAGATTCGAGATTCGGTTGGCCGGCAGTTTTCTATTTATACGGAGCTTTGGGTATGCTATGGGGTCTTGTGTATTTCATTGTCGGCTCAGACTGCCCGTCCAAACACAAAACCATTACTTTATCGGAGAGACAATATATTGAACAACAACAGGTCGTTTCCGATGAAAAAGAAGAAGTAAGTTGTCCAATAAATAAAATTAATAATTGTTTACGACTAAGTTTATTATTAATAGGTTCCAACGCCTTGGTTGCATATTTTCATGTCACCGCCATTTTGGGCCATTCTGATCGCTCATTGCGGTCAAAATTTCGGTTTTTGGACTCTGCTGACGGAGATCCCATCTTATTTGAAGGAAATTTTGCAATTCGATTTGAAGTCCGTAAGTACTTCTGCATCTCATACTATATTATTGATTTGAAGACCGAATGATTCCTTTCCAGAACAGCACGTTATCATCTCTACCTTATTTAGTAAATTGGATATTAAGTTTGTTCATGGGACCGATAGCGGATTATCTAATAACCAAAGGTTATGTAACAACTGGAACTAGCAGGAAAATATTCAATAGCATCGGTAAGTTAGAAGTATGAAATCAATATTCCACTTAACACGTCTCTTTTTAGGCATGTTTATACCAGCATTATCCCTAATATGCTTAACTTTCGTGGGTTCTGATAAACCAACGGCAGCTATATTTTTATTAACTACAGCTGTAGGCTTCAATTCAGCTATTTATTCTGGTTACAACGTGAATCATATAGATTTATCGCCGATACATGCAGCTACTTTAATGGCATTGACCAACAGCATATCTAATATCTTCTCGCTGGTGTCCCCGCTCATCGTGGATCTCGTAGTTTTAATTACGGGATACCAAGAGGTGATTTTCAATTATCTATTAAGAATTTTTTAATAGCTAATTATTTTGTTGTAGACTGAAAGAGAATTGTGGACTGTGGTATTCTGCATAGCCAGCTCCGTGTACTTAGCAAGTGGAATAATATATGATATTTTCGGAAGCGGGGAAACACAATCGTGGAATAATCTAAATGAAACAAAGAATAAACCGCAAGAGCAGAAATCCACTTACAACACATTCGAAGACATCAAAATGGACAAAGTGCAAACGTGACAACTCCCGGCTCCTTTTTTTAATTAGGCAAATAATTTATAAGCGACTTGTGTTGTTGATCATTTTTGTAATAACGTACTGTACGTACACAATTTGTTTTTAGTTATAAATCCGTTTAAGGATTACCAAATATGAACGTTTATGTACATGTTTTACCAAATAATAATGTTTATGTGTATTGAACAATATCAATTAAGCTCTTTGTTCTCCAAATTTACAAATACAGTTACCAAGTAAAATTAAACAATAAAAACAAATAATCACAAAAACTCCTCTTTGATTTTCTTCCTCAAGATCTTTCCAGCCGGATTTTTGGGTATACTATCGATAATGGCAATTCCACCGGTTAGTTTCTTGTAAGGGGCGACTTTTTCCGCCACGTACGCCTCCAGTTCCTCTGGCTTGAACTGAACACCTTTTTTGGGTACCACGAACGCTCGAGGTGCCTCGCCGAACTTGGCGTGAGGCACTCCAACTACAGCAGCATCTTCAACCGAAGGAAAAGCTCGAATTACGGCTTCCAGTTCCGCCGGAGCCACCTGGTAACCTTTAACCTGAAAGAATAGAAGCGAATTGCAAATCATTGCTCTTGATATACAAAAATTCAATATACTTTGATTAGTTCTTTAAGGCGATCACTGATCCAAATGTACTTGTCCTCCTTGTAGTAACCAATGTCTCCCGTCCGCAACCAACCATCAGCAAAAGTGTTTTGAGTTTCTTGCGGTTTTTTGTAGTAGCCTTTCATGACTTGGGGGCCTTTGATTAGGATTTCGCCTCGTTGATTAACGCCCAAAGGCTCTCCCCGCGGATCGTCGACGTTGGCTATCTTCATAATCGTGTTGGGCAGCAATTTGCCCACGGATCCGCTGTTTTCTTCCGATCTTACGTGGTATTTGTTAAAGTAAGTGATGCCAGGGGACGTTTCGGTGAGACCATAACCTAAGTAGAAATGTAAATTTATCATCTCTATCTCGACTCGATATTTATGGAACACCTTGGAATATTGTGACGTCTGATCTGCCGACTTTCTTTAGGAACTTCTCTTCGTCAGAATAGCCCAAAGGAGCGGCGCCTGATGTTAAGTTTCTTAGATTTTTCAAGTACTCCGGTTTCACGTCCTGATGAGAAGTTAGGAAAAATACTGAAATTAATCGATTAGAAGTAGGTAAATAAATTATTAATTAGGTGCAATGGGTAATTTACATCCTGATTCGTGATTACCGTTTATTAATCTACAATAAATAGATCGATTCATGACCTTACCTAAAGGCGGCGCTCCGCTAATGAACGTCGGTCTGTACTTCTTCAATGCTTCAATATATGTGTCAGGAGCAAATTTAGCCAAAGCTACTGTTCGGACACCGCAATACAAATACAGAAAATTCATTGCCATGCCGAAAATGTGATAGAAAGGCAAAACAGCTGGGGTAATTTCTTGAAAATCTCCTAAAATATTATTTACATAAATAAAAAGTAGTTAAAGAAAGCAATGGGTCATTTACCTGATGGTTCTTTCAAGTACTTGAAATCTGGGCTGACGATTTGTAATAGATTCGCTATAAGGTTCTTGTGGCACAATTGCACGCCTTTCGGAAGACCAGTTGTACCGCTGGAATAAGGAATAATGGCTACATCTGCACTATTGCCCGGTGGTGAATCTGGAACATCGATGGCCGTATCCGTTAGCTCGAAAAAATCAACTGTGTCTCTAGGAATGCTCTCATCTTGCTAAAAAAATGTTAAAGAATAATAAGCGTAAATGTTACTTAAATTTCTATAAACCTACTCTATCTTTCACAATAATAGTAGGTAAGTCTCGGTTCGATATCTTTAAAGCGGATTTAAGTGTATTTAACAAGTGCGATTGGGTAAAAATCAACTTTGGAGATGCGTCGATTATTTGAATGGCAATTTCATCTGAAAATAATTTTAACGTGTAGTTAAATTTCTCTTTTTGAACTATAATATTTTACCTGGCGTGTATAGGTGATTCATTGTGGTGACTATTAATCTCGCGTCCAAAGCACCTAAGAAACAAATAGTATATTCAGGCAGGTTAGGCATGTAGAATGCTACAATGTCGCCTTCTTTTAATCCGAATTTATGTCTTAGATGCTTGGATAAATTTTTGCTCTTGACATGGATCTGCTCGAATGTGTACTTTTTGCCTGTGGCAGCAGATTCCTGAAACCCAGTAATTTGTTAAATATTTTATTTTCCATTAATATTTTTATACAATGATTTTAAATTGTGCACAATACATTTAGATAAAAATTGTTAGTCTACTTACAGTTGCTATGTAATTAGGAAACTGTTGCATTTTATTGTAAATAATTTCAGGTAAAGTAGCATCGGGAACAACAATGTCTTTGCTGTCGCTCTTCAGAATGTTGGGATGGTCGTCGGGATTTGTAGAAATGCATCTGTTTTGGTTTTTGAAATTTCCGAGGAATTTCCTGAAGAATTTTCCTCTGAATGATGGCAAGTTTCCTCTCATCAGAGACATTTTCGTTGGGTAGAAACACCGGCTATTGTATCGAAGAAGATTGCAGCAATTGAACTTTGTACAAAATAAAATTCATTTTGTTAATCTTATCTAGGCGATAACGGTTTATTTTTATGTTGTGAGCTATTCGAGCGTAGAATAAAAGTATTGTTCGTGATTTGATTCCAATGGTAGTGATGAAATAGCGCAAAATGTAGAGAGACGATGACAAATTGTAGTTATTAAAAGTGAACTTGTGTGTTGACTATTAATTACTTATGTATTAAAACGTTAAATATAGCGTAAGGTAATAATTTACCTTCGTATTTTTATTTGTAATTAGGTGCACATCACAATTATCTTCTAGTTACTTGAATCACTTCTACTAACTGTTTGGTTATCTTATATAGTTTGAAATTTTTTACTTATATACTTAAAAACGCGTACCTGTACTGTAACCTCCACCACAAAAAACCGATAAAAACATAATACAGAAAATATTACCATATTTACGTTCGCAATTATAAGAAGTCGAATAAATTATTATTCATTAATCCTTAATTTATTTAAAAAAAAACGAGGTGCTCACTTTAATTAACAAATATTTTGGTTAAGATAAATTTGGAAATTATTTATTTAAATCTAGCTCTAATTTTTGGAACCACGTACATATGTATTAGAAAATTATCCTAAAAATTTTATCACAAGTACTTACATACATATTTTCATTTTATTGAATTAAACAATTATATTTATTAAACAACATTTAAGTACTTTATATCGTTTAATTTCGATTGATTAATGCTATATGATAATAAGAATGACTAGCGCTAAAAATAAGAAAGTATACCTGCTTACTTACAATGGAATGTATAAAAAATAGCGTCTAACAGAAATTGTTGATATTTTAAAACTGAGTTGTAAAGTGTATACTTTAGAACTAGATTTGGTTATCTCTAGTAGGTAGGTATATACACCTTTATTAGTAGGAACTAATTATTATGTCAATTATACGAGATAAAGTTATACATCGAGTGTTAGAACAGCCTTGAAATTATTTCCTGTATATGCATTTTCAAAAAAATGACATATGTAAATTAACTGAGTGCATAAATATCCTACCTAATGCACTCCGAGGTTAAAGTCTACCAGGAGTACCAGGCCGCTCCCGCTGAACTGGAAGCCATCATTCGCGATGATTATCTTGTAGAGAGCACCATGCACCATCTTGGTAGTTATTCCTCATGCTCAACCCGGTGAAGTACCGAAGAGATCCTATGTTGCATCAAAGAAAAAATATCTATTAGATGTAGAAAAGTATCCTAAAGTAATGTGGAGGACAATGTGAACAATGTTACCAATGTGTGAACAATCCCCTAAGGTTTAATGGTGGAAATTAATGGTGTAAATATCCTTTTTAAACATATCTATAGATCAATTTGCCAATAAGCATTTTATTTGATGATTTTTCATCGTTGAGGAACAACTATTGAATGAATTTCACAATTTTCAAATTTTAATAAAGTAGTAAAGTTTTATTGGACAATAAAAATAGTATTTAAATTTACCGCTTATTTTTATAGAAGTATAGAAGAAATCTATATTATCGACTTTCAATATTTCATGCTTATTTCCATACAACATTAACCACAGCAGCAGCGTAAAAGATGTTGCCATTGCAATTTTTTAGTAAAAGATCGAATTCTCTCTACTTTCTTATACGCCCATTACTAACAGTTTTTAATGTCCTTTTCGATCAATTTTAAGTTTTTTAAAATTATATATCCCAAAAACCAAAAATATGCTACTGTCACTGTCAGATGAGTCAACTGTCACTGTCATTTTATCTGTCAAAATCAAATTACTAATGTCATTAATGTCAATGTCAATTCGATTTAACAATTTGATAGGCGGCTCGTCGAATGTTTACAATGGGTTTTTATTTATACTTGTACGAAATTTGTTTGAGTATTGAACCTTGAATTACTCAATTTCCTCCAACATTATATCATCGTTATAATTACCGCATCGTTCGGTAAATTTTCGAAGGTTGTGTGGTCGGTGTGTTTGTGTGTTTGTTTGATAACAGGTTTTAATTTCGAACGAAATTAAGGTACAGCACAGCAATGCTTTCGAATATACACTTACACGCTCGGTCGATCGAATGGTTAAGTTAAAAAGGCGAAAAATGGGTGTAAATAACGTCAAAAATGTTACTGTTTGTTTATAACATTAAGTATCAGTGTCAAATATGAGCGAGAGAAAATTCGCTCGGGGTTTATCCAAACCGGGAACTGCTGCTCAACTGAGGGAAACTGTCTCGCAAGTTGTTAGAGAAAGCACTGTGCAGGTAAGTCATGAGTGAAAGTCCCTATCGTTTTATTCAACTAGAAATATAAATAGAAAACCAGTTTACATACTCCTGGAATCACTGTGTAACATTCTATGATTTTTGATTAAATTTTCTTGGATATATTTAAACGTTACACCCACCTTCATTTCTACGATAGATATTCTAACATTCAAAGATTGCTTTACGGTTAAAAATACTTTACAGTTTATATTTATTACCTATGTGTTATCTAGGAAATAGAATTGGAACACCAAAACATTTTTTTGGCACCTGTTGTAATTAATGTTTTCATGTATTTATTACACATATAATGTATACGAAATGTTTGATTTGACTCATTTTGAAGTACTTGTTGATAAAGAACCTATTAACTTGAAATTACACCAATTATCACGAAAATCTGATGAGTGTTAATAAAGTTATGGCATAAAAACAATTACTAGAAGAACCTGAAAGTATACAATAAACTGAAATTTACCTCCAATAATCTCACTTGTAATTAGTAATTTAATAACATAAATAGAGCACAGGCTAATAAAAAATGTTTATTCAAAAATAAATATTGACAAATCACCTATGTATGAAGCAATTTGCGATTACAATTTTAAGTACCTTTTACACATATTTGGTTTACTTAAACCAAAAATTGAATCATTAAAATTCTAATACTCATTTGGTGCTGCTAACATTGCCATTGGAGTTTTGAACATTACAACAATTTGCCATATCAGCTATATTTACGCCAGTAGATACTTGTTAGTTGTTGGTGATAAATAAAATAAGATAGTCTGTTGATTCGAGGACAGGCAAAATGAATTTCTTTCCGAACAACATTCTAAATACGGTTTTTGAAAACGTTCTGAGCATAACCACTCGATATATTATTGTAATATAGTGTTAAGTGTGTTATTAATAGGTAATTGATTGCAAGCTTTTTTTACAGAGTAAGCCTCATAGAGTAGAACCTTTGGATTTCGAAACGTTTGTGATTAAAAATAAGACAGTTCTTCAAAATGATCCTGAACGGGAATTGTTATTATACCCTCCTGATGACATTTCTGTAAGTAACTTTCCTCAAACAAAACCAGGACCAGTTTCTTCTAGCTATTATTGATTAATTTTATAATTTCAGCAAATCGTCTTGCCAAGGAAGATTCGTACCTTACAGCAAACAATCCCTCCGCCAGAGGAAACAGAAAATTGTAGTCTGCTCACGAAACAATGCATCAAAAATTACTCGTGTGACTGGACGACAATCCATTACAAATACAGCGCGTACTCCGGAAGTTGCATAGACCTACCGATTAAATCCAAAGAGAAGAAACTGGAAGAGGAAATTTACGAAACCGACATAGACACCGACGCGGTGGACGATTTGAAGCCCAGATTAGACAATATCACCAAGGAAGGGTACTTACTCAAAGGACCGGAAATCGGTTCAGAACGAACGTTCGTAAACATCGGCTCGAAGAGCTTCAAACGGAGGTACTGCTATTTGCGACAAGAAGTTGACGGTACTTACATATTGGAAATGTATAAAGACGAGAGGAAAGGAGAAGCCAAAGTTACGATAGTCATGGATTTTTGTACTGATGTTTTAAAGGTAAATATACAGGGTGTCCATGAAATAGACGGAGATGATATTTTAGGGGGTGGTTCCTTGTTTAAAATATATGAAAAAAAGTTTCCATAAAAATGGTTCCGGAAATGCAGAGTTTTCAAGATACAGGATGTTAAATAAAAAAAAAAAAATGTTAATACAGGGTGTTTATTAATTGAGTGCCGACACTTCAGGATGTGAATATTTCGGTGATTTTAAGAAGAAAAGTTTTATCAATAAATATCCTAAACTTCTTAGTTTTTGAGCTACACGGTGTTACAATTAAAAAAAAACTTTTCTATCATAATTATCTTATTACTCCAGATATTTTTATGAAATTTTGTACGTTTTTTAAATTTATCAGGATTTTAAAAAATAATTTTCGAGCAAATTCGGTCCGAAGACTTACTTTCGTACGACGCACCATTTTCGCGTAAAAAAATAAAAACCAAACCAATTTTTTTCCAAGTCCCAAAAATCAATTTTCTACTATTACCAGTGAAGTCCTCGTCCGAAATACCTCCGTCTATTTTATGAACCCTCGTATATTTTTTACAGAGGGGTTAGTAAATAGAGGCTTACATTCGATACTTTTGGTTTTAGAATTTGAAAAGAGGCAGATTTTGCTTGGAACTGAGAATGACTTCTGGCCATAAATCGTATTTATTAGCGGCGGAAAACGAAAATGATTTCAAAGATTGGTTGAATAAATTGAGTTCCGTTTTACAACAGAACAAAGTTCAAGAAGAAAAGAGAGCAGCATCACTAGAAAGAGGTATTATTCATTAATAATTCTATTGTTAAGGCACTCCTTTAAATTATTTACTATTTTTATCGGCAGATAAAAAATTATCTGTTTGTGTTTATTACATGATTCACGCACATGAATACGCTAATGATAAAATATTTTATTTACTGCAAAAGTCAAACTATTCGACTTATTCTTTCTCTTGTCGCTTTTGTAAATAGAAAGTTGAACGAAATTTTCGGGATTATTGTTTTCTGAAAAATCAAATTGATTAAAAAATTGGGTATACTCAAACTTTAAAAAAAATCAATTTTCAACAGCCATGCTTCGTATTAAGCGAAATTGTTCTTTTACAGAACGAAATACTCCCCCGTCTTCGCCGCAAATCCAATCGTTCGGAACCCTGAAAGGGCTCGAGCAGAGCATGAATCCCCAACTGATGAAGTACGCGCGCGAGACCGATCACAGCATAGCGAATTTAAGGAAAGAAAACCGCCATAGAATATTCGAACTCGATCCCAACTACGCCATGCATCTGAGGCAACAGCAGGCCTCCAGTCGAAGCGACCGGGTAGAACCCTACAAAGAAATGTTTGGTTCCAGGGTGCTCCTGCGTTGCGAAAGCATCAAATTGAAGCTGCAAGTCGCCGACGATAGGGAAAACCTCTGCCAAGTGGAGCCTTACCATACGAGCTTGTGCTTATTCGACGCTCGAAGCGGCAGAAAACTCACCGAGAATTTCCATTTCGACGTAAACAGCGATGGTATTAGAAAGAGTATGTTTACCAATTCGAATTCGACAACAAACGGGATTTGCGTCGATGCTTCTTCGAAGAACGTTAAGCTAGGCTTACCGGACAAATTAAATGCCGAAGAATGGCTGGCTTATCCTCGACAGGCTCTGCTGAGCGTTACGAATCCCCATCCTGATATATTTCTAGTCGTTAGAATAGAGAAGGTCTTGCAAGGGGGGATCGCGCAGACTTCTGAACCTTACGTTAAGGCTTCCAAGGACCCGAAAGTTAGCCAAAAAGTTTACAGGAATATCGCCATGTGTTGCCAACGATTGGGCAAGTACCGGATGCCCTTCGCTTGGGCTGCCAGACCATTGTTTAGGTAAGTTTTTATTCCTATACAGAATGTTAATTAATAGAGTCCCGATACCTCAGGATGTGAATATTTGTATGATTTTAAGAAGAAAAGTTTATATATCAATATATGTCTTAAATCTCTTGGTTTTCGAGCTACAGGGTGTTACAGTTAAAAAAAAAAACTTTTCTATTATAATTTTCTCATTACTCCAGATATAAACTTTTCTTCTTAAAATCATCCAATATTTACATCCTGAAGTATCGGCACTCAATTAATTAACATCCTTTATAATGTTCATATTTATTTGCCCTATAATAATGCAGAATGGATTATTGATGGATTCAATCGTTTTTTTTTTAGATTGTATAGTAACGAATTAGACACTACTTCCGATTTTCACGCCATCTACAGGCAAGAGGCGAATAAAATCAGCGATGAAGAATTACTGAAGTTATTATCGGACTATAGGAAACCCGATAAATTTAGCAAGTTTACCGCGATTCCAGGATCATTGGAAATCAAATTGTCCGCCGTCAACGAACTTCCACCGAGTAATTAAAACTACGCTACTTTATACAGGGTGGTCCAGAACTCGCGTCCCACCGGGAAAGGGATCATGGAAACGACTATAGAGATGTCAAAGCCGCAGCTGAAGACATGAATAAATTTTTCCTTTGGTAAATAAAGAGGTTTAAAATCGACCAAATCTCACTAATAGTTGAAATTTTTGAAAATGACGTGAATGAGCTTTAACAATTTGACTTTATTAAAGTCTTATCCGAATATGTATACAGCCACCGAATGCATGGAAATGATTATAATTTAAGGAGAAGATGGACGAAACGCACGAGAAGCTGTTCGAATTTATCCAGGACGATTTCCCGAGAGGGTGAGTTATCCTGATGATCATCCTTTTGTTTTTACAAGCAAATCTTTGATTAACAGTCGTAGCTTATTTTGACAACTTTTGTTAACCTTGAAAGTGAAGATTACATCTTTCAATAATGCCAAATTTGGTAAAGCTCATTTACGTCATTTTCGTCGATTTGAACTATTACTGGGATTGGTCGATTTTAGATTTTAAACCTCTTTATTTACCAAAGGAAAAATTTGTTCACGTCTCCGGCTGCAGTTTTGGCATCTCTATTGTCGCTTCCCTAATCCCCTTACCGGTGGGGCGCGAGTTCTGGACCACCCTGTATATCATGAAAATAATTGAAAATCTTGTTTTTTAGATACTTTATCGACTTGTTTGTCGCCCTTAGTACCATTTCCGATGCCGCCAAGTTCCGAGCCAACGTTAGAAATAGCCGAATTGGAGGGATTGATAGATAAAGACATCAATCCTTACACATCTTTTATCAATCATTTATACGTCTATCCTCTAATTTTAAATTTCGACATGCAGAAGCACTTTGCCAGGGCGAGAAATATAGCTTGTGTCATACAAGTCAGGGATTCGGATAACGAAGAAGCAAAGGGTTTACCAGTTAGTATACATTTAATCGTTTCCAATATACAGGGTGTAACTCGAGTGCCGATACTTCAGGATGTAAATATTTGGATGATTTTAAGAAGAAAAGTTTATATCGGCTGCGTTTTTTTATCCTATAAATTCTCGCTGCAGCCTGATAAAACAAGTGTCATTCTAATGCTTATACTTAAAACCATCTTAAAGCATTAAAAAAACGATAAGAGTTTCTATCGCTACAACGAATGCATGCAACTTGTAACACTCTGTAGTTCGAAAACTAAGATGTTTAGGACATTATTGATATAAACTTTTCTTCTTAAAATCATCCAAATATTCACATCCTGAAGTATCGGCACTCATTTAAGTAACACCCTGTATTTCGACTGGTTTATTTGTTTTTTTAGTGTATTTATGGCCGACCAGGACAGCCTCTTTTGGTATCGCAAACCTCTTGCGCTGTTTTACATCACAATACGTATCCGACTTGGTACGAAGAAGTGAAAATTAGACTCCCGACCAATTTGCTTTGCTCTCACCATCTGCTATTCACGTTTTACCACGTTTCCTGCGACATAACTAAGAAACGTGAAAACGGCATTGAGAATTGCGTGGGCTACGCCTGGTTGCCGTTACTGCAAAAAGGAAAACTCAACGTCGATACTCAGGTTGTTCCCGTCGCCGCGCAATTGTTGCCGGGTTACTTGGCTGTGCACCCGTTCGGTTTGGGCAAAGGCGTGAGTAGTTATACAGTTCAATTTCGACTGGTTTCTAGCGTATTGTTTTCAGAACGCCGGACCGGAGATAACCTGGATAGACTCCCAAAAACCTATATTTACTGTATCGTTCAATTTAGTTTCGACCATAAACACCAAAGACCAACATTTGCACAATCTATTCAATCACGCCGAAAGGCTAATGGACCCCAAACCCACGTCTATACCATCGGAGAGCGAGACCTGCAAAATACTGAAAGCTTTACACGCCATCCATTTGACGACTCTCATCGCTTTTCTACCCACTCTGTTTAACCAACTGTTTGCACTTCTCACGACGACCAGCAGCGAGGAAATCGGCCTGAACGTCATCAGGGTCTTGATCAATTTGGTGACGATGGTGTACAACGTGAGGCGCAAGGAGATCCTGCAGGCGTACGTGAAGTACGTGTTCGTTTCGCCGGATGCCGCGGGAAAGGGCAGCACCGTGCACGAGGAAATGTGCCGCCACCTGCCGGTCATTTTGAATCCGAACAATACGGATTTTTTGGTCGTCAACAAATTCATGCACCATTCGGAGTTCTTTTTCGAGATTACCGTCAAGAGTATGGCGCAGTATCTGTTGAGTTCTGGAAGGATAAAGGTTTGTTTGTTATTTTTTTTTTTTTAATTTTTCAAAGTAGCTGTTAGTTGCGTGTAGATACAATAGTTTGTATTCATATAAATGAAGCATTTACTTTGAAGAAAAAAGTAGAAGCAAAATGTAATAGAAAAATGTTTTGCTCTGATCCATATTCACGATCTCCGCCTTTTCTTTGCAAGGCAACGCTTTGGATCAATAAAGTAAATACAGTTGACTGTGGTACAGAGATTGTGGTGAGATTGTACAGATATTGTGGTACAGAGATTAGCGATTTTGTCAAACTAGTCGAAACAAGTCTAAATGGTTCTAAACAGTTCTAAATGCTTCTGGAGCATTCTAAATTGATATAACCAGTTCTATACAGGTTTTAGACAGTTCCAAATGGTCCTGGATCATTCTAGATTGACCTAGACAGTTCTAAAAGATTCTATACAGTTCTAAATGATTCTAGACAGTTCTAGATGATTCTAAAGCGTTTTAGATGGTTCTAGACAGTTCTAGATGATTCTAGAGCGTTCTAAATGATTCTAGACAGTTCTAGATGATTCTAGAGCGTTCTAAATGATTCTAGACAGTTCTAGATGATTCTGGAGCGTTATGCTTCTTTTTATAAATGCGGCCTAATTAGTAATTGCAGTAGATTTATTCGTTGTATAATTTTGGATGTAAATTTCAGATGCACCGCCACGAGCGCTTTCCCAACGATTTTCTAGCCAAAATCGAATGTTTAATGCAAATTTTGATGCCATATATTATAAATAAGCACAAGGAAATGCCCGTAGAAACTAAAGAATTAAACAAGAGTATGGCAAATTTCCTCAAGGTAAAAATCCAACATTTAGCTAGTAAAAACGATTTAATAAACAATTTCATTTTATCTTTTACAGAAATGCCTTTCTCTATCAGATAGAGGCTTCATATTCAAAATAATCAAATCCTACATGGACAAATTCAATCCCGGCGACGTGAAGGTTCTGCAAGAGTACAAATTCGACTTTCTGGAAATCATTTGCAATCACGAGCACTACATTTCATTCAATTTGCCGATACAATACAATAAGCTCAGTCCTCGAAACAAATCGCCCGATAATACGCACGAATTCACCTTGTCAGAAGAATTTTGCAAGCACCACTTCATTGTTGGATTGCTATTACAGGTAATTGGAAGAATATTACTGATATCAAGAGTAAGTAAAATTAAAATTAAATTGCAGGAAGTCAAAATGTCACTAAACGAAATGACGCCGGTCCGAAGAATAGCCCTAAACGCTTTGAGGAATCTAATAGCGAAGCACGAACTGGACGATCGATACGAGAATAAACGGCAGATGAGCCGTATAGCCCTCATATATCTACCGTGGTTGGCCGTAGTATTGGAAAACATCAACCGATTGGACGCCAAAGGCGCGAACGACGACGACGACGGCGACGCCGGCGTCGCCAATAGAATGTCGTCGAGCAGTTCGTTTCTATTCGGCAAAAGCTCCGCCAGCGAGTGCACCCCCAGGAGTCACAGGTTCACTTTGCACATCGACAAAGACAGCCCGGTGCACGTGAGGAATTCTTCGTTTTTCGAGGCGATTGCCGGCCAATGTTAGTAAATAGAATTTGATGTTTTATCTATTGTTAATGCATACAGGGTGTTTGAGATTGCAATTTGCTCACTCTAAACCACTGTTATTTTAATCTTTCTTTGTTCTACTCATAGAATTGAGCTTATTGCAAACAAATATGCACCTACCCATACTTGATTACATCGTAACATTTCAGCTTTAGTAAACGGGAATTCGTTGAGCGTGGATTCGGATATTTCGACGATGTCCGGCGGCGACGGGCAATCCACCCTCTCCCAGGACACCACCATCATCAGAGACGATGCGCTCAGAACGAACGGCTCCGAGCGAAAGTCCCACCACCAACGGAACCCCTCGCACGTCCTCCGTTACGACAAGCTCCAGCACCAGGAGGTCAAGGACGTGCTGCTCGTGTTCCTGTTCGTCGTGAAGTACCTGAACCGCGAGCAGATGATCGCCTGGTGGGAGAATTACTCCGAGCACGACGTCGTCAATTTCTTCGCCGTGCTGGAGCTGAGCCTGCGCCGCTTCCGGTACGTGGGAAAGCGGAATTTGGACGTGGTGAAGACGAACGAGCCGGAGAACGTGAAGCCGAAGGCGAAGAAGGCCCACACGCTGCCGGCGAGGATGGATCCCAGCGAGATGAGTCGCGAGAGTACGGGAACGTTGGTGATTCACGCGCCGAGGGAGAATCTCATCGATTCAGGTACTGGGAAGGTTATTAATAGAGCTCGGAAAATATGCTCCAAAAATGGCAAAATATGCATGTAAATATGCACTAAAGTTCTTAAAAATTTGCACTTAAATATGCGTTTATGCTCGATGAAAAAATCGGAAACAACCAGATATTAAATAATTTTTTCAAAAGTTTTGTTAAAATAAAAAGATAATTAATACACATACAATGCCGACTATTGGACTATATTACTTATTAGAACATTAAAAGAATGAGATAGAATCATTTAGAACTGAATCTAGGACAATCTATGACCTTACAAAACACTCCAGAATAATGTAGAATGCTCCAGAATCATTTAGAACTGCTCGAGAATCGTTCGGGACACTATTTAATAGTTCCTCAGAATGAGCATCGGGTGTTTCTTTTAGTTCCATTATTCGCAAGTACATAATTGTTACATAAAACTGTCTAGAACCATTTAGAACGCTCCAGAATCATTATAACTGTCTAAAATCGTTTAGAATGCTTCACAACCGTTCAGAACACTCCAGATTGATGTATAATGTTCCATAATCCTGTTTAGAATCATTTAACTGCCTAGATTCGTTTAGAACGTTCCATAATCATTTAAAAAGCTTCAGAATAATTTAGAACTGTCTAAAACTGGAGAACACTCCAGAACTGTTTACAACACTCTAGAATGCTCCAAAATCATTTAGAACTGTTTAGAACCATTTAGAATTTTATTTTGAATATTCCTTTTGAATTTTTTTAGGGAAATACGCCCGTATGCACTTTACACGCATTTTGCGTATTTTCCGCATTTTGCGTATTTTCCAGGCTCTAGTTATCAAATATTAGAATCGCGTAGGTAACAATTTGCTGATTTTTTTTACAGAAAACGAAGTCCACAGACAACAGCAAGCGATCTACGAGCAACATTTGGCCAGCGAAATAGGTCTGATCGCATTGGATTGCATGGGCCTCTATTGCATGCACTTCCAGAAGAAACTCCAACAAACGGCCGAGACGACGACGGAGAACGAAGTCTTGCAGAAGATCCTCGACATTTACCTCAGCTTCATGCAAATCGGCCAGAGCGAGAAACTGCTCAGGCACGTGTTCGCCTCTCTGCGGGCGTTCGTCAACAATTACTCGCCGATATTGTTCCAAGGCAACGCCGTGTTGTGCGGCAAACTTTGCTACGAGCTGTTGAAATGCTGCAACAGCCGATTGGCCACCGTCCGGCAGGAATCCTGCGCCGTGCTCTATTTGTTGATGCGCAGCAATTTCGAATTTACGGGACGCAAGGGGCTGACGAGGGTGCATCTGCAAGTCATCATTTCGGTGTCGCAGATGTTGGGCAACGTCGTCGGCTTGAACAATTGCAGATTTCAGGAGAGCTTGTCGCTTATAAACAGCTACGCGTCCAGTGATAAGGCGATGAAAGGGACAGGTAAATTATAATTTGCTTATTATTACTGCTACTCTACTCTTACTCCTACCCCTACTCCTACTCTAATCCTACTATACTCCTACTCTACTCCTACTGTAATTCAGCGAACCACTTTAACCTTAAACATAACTTTAAAGTCGCGTCTCTGACTTGACAGTTTTACATTGTTGTTATGAAGTAACTAGGGACTTTGTTTACGTTAAAGTGACCCTTTAAGTTAAAAAAGGGGCGTTGAATACGGGCCAGTATTGTGTTTTACTTTACTCTACTATAATGTCTACATGTTTTAGGCTTTCCAGTAGAGGTGAAGGACTTGACGAAACGGGTCAGGACGGTTCTAATGGCTACGGTCCAAATGAGAGAGCACCATCACGATCCAGAAATGCTGGTCGATTTGCAACACAGTTTGGCCAATTCGTACGCTTCCACGCCGGAATTGAGGCACACTTGGTTGGAAACGATGACGAGACATCACGTGCGAGACGGGAATTTCTCTGAAGTGAGAATTCATTTATATCATTAAATTTATTTTAACGATTTTTATGCCTATTTTTTGTATATTACAGGCGGCTTGTTGCCAGCTTCACATCGCCGCGTTGATGGCCGAATATTTAAAATTGAAGAACATCCAAAAATGGGGCGCAGAGAAATTCCAGCTGATCTCTTTAAATATACCGAAGGATGAAAAGGGTTTGAAATTGGATTCGGGCGTTCAGGACGTCCAGTATTCGGAGTTTATCATGCAGGAGCAGCTCGAACGATGCGCGGAGTATTTAGATAAAGCGGAACGCTACGAAATTTTAGGTAAATTTTTCAGCACTCCTTCGGGTTTTTACCTTTTACTATAATCCGGCCTAGTTCGTGTGTAAAGTAGGTAGGTTTTAAAATGACAATGACGTCACGAGGCAGGCACATTGCAACGTTGCCGGGTTGTAAGTGAAATCCTTTATATGCCAGATACATTTAATTTAAGGTTTTGTTTACTTTCTTTTACAAAATATTAGAATTTAAACAGGAAAAATAACATCTTCAGGAGATACGTACTCGCGTGTATTAATTTAACTGAATATTATAGTACCCACGCACGATATTTACACCAAAAACACGAAAAATACATAGAAAAACAGAAAAGAACAAAGGCAAAAATCGCTGGGAATCATTTAGAATACTCCAGGATCATTTGGGAATGTTTCGAACCATTTAGAACGCTTTAGAACAATTAGACCGCTCCAGAATCATTTATAACTGTTTGTAACTTCATATTTAGAACTGTCCAGAATAGTTTTAAAACGTACAAACATTAACAAACAAATGTTTTAGGGGAATTGTACAAGCTGATAATACCGTTGCACGAGAAGAAGCGAGACTACGGCATGCTGAGGAAATGCTATTCGAATTTGGCGGACAACTACGAGAAAATAATGGAGGTGAACAAGAGCTGCAGGCGATTGTTGGGCCGCTATTACCGCGTCGGATTTTACGGGCAGGCTTACTTCGAAGACGAAAGCGGCACCGAATACGTCTACAAGGAGCCCAAAGTGACCTCGTTGAGCGAGATCGCCGAGAGGCTGTACAAGCAGTATTGCGATAAATTCGGAGCGGACGTGGTGAAGATGGTGCAAGATTCGATGCCGGTGAGTTTTAGATTAGAATTTTTGGTGCCGGTTTAGTATGAGGTCTACCATAGTATTTTCGGTCTACCTACATACTTCGTCGCACAAGTATACAATTTAAATACTTTGACAGGTGTCATATTTTGCAAAACTTAAACTGGTTAGTGGTTGCCAACATGTCTGACAAAACTGCAAACGTTTCTGCATTTAAACTTTTTTCCATCTCCTGGATTTTCGAGATCCCTGTATTAAACATCGAAAAAACTCGACCTGTATAATTCTGATACTTCCGTAATTTACGATAAATTGAAGAATTATTTATCTGCATGCAATAATACAGAGTGTTAATTAATTAAGTGCCGATACTTCAGCATGTGGATATTTGGATGATTTTTAGAAGAAAAGTTTATATCAATATATGTCCTAAACCTCTTAGTTTTCGGGCTACAGGGTATTACAAACTTAGAAAAAAAATGACTTATCTATCATAATTTTCTTATTACTCCAGATATTTTTTATGTATAGAAAAGTTATTTTTTTTTCTAAAACTGTAACACCCTGTAGCTCGAAAACTAAGAAGTTTAGGACATATATTATATTGATATAAACTTTTTTTTTCTTAAAATCATCCAAATATTCACATCCTGAAGTATCGGCACTCAGTAATTAAACCTGAATATTTACCTTTAAATAAATAATGGTACTTCTTCCCCAATTCTAGGTAAATTGAATTACCTACATGCTGTTCTATAAATAATACAATACCAGTATTTTTTTCTTTTGCTTAATGAAATATCAATTTTTAAAATCTTGCTGTTATACTTTGTAATAAATAAATACTTTGTATAAAATAAATTTGGTTAGACCGCATACTAGACTGGCACCAAATTCCTTTATATGATTTTATATTATACAATTAAATTTCAAATAAAATCGTAGGTAAACCAGTCAGAACTGGATCCGAAATTGGCGTACATTCAAGTCACTCACGTTACCCCGTACTTCGAAAAAGAAGAACTCGAAGAAAGACAAACGGAATTCGAACACAACCACGACATCAATTGCTTCATGTTCGAAACCCCTTTTACTAAAGACGGGAAACCCAGAGGTAATCCCGAAGAGCAATGGAAAAGACGAACGATATTAACTAGTAAGTACCAAACATTTAGAGAGTTACAAATCTACTCGTCCTATAAACTCGGTTTTCTTCTTTCGGAATTCTCTTCTAATTGTTCATTATTTATTTAAGCCGCCTACTTGTTTCCTTACGTGAAAAAGAGAATACCCGTGACGTCGGTACGACACGTGGAACTGACGCCTATAGAGGTGGCAATCGACGAAATGCAATGTCGCGTCGCTGAACTAGAAGACGTCGTATTCACGCAACCCACCGACGCCAAGAAGCTGCAGCTCAGGCTTCAAGGAAGCGTTTGCGTTCAAGTCAACGCCGGTCCGTTGGCCTACGCCAACGTCTTCTTGGATCCGGCCCTGAGCAGCATGTATCCCGACGAGAAAGTCGAAGAATTGAAGGATATATTTAGGTATTTGTCCTAATGCAGGGTGTACCTCGATGAGTTAAAAACTCTTTATACGCGGAAAATTACGCTGGCTATTTTATGAATGTTTCTGTGGATATAAAGTCATAATTTAATCTGTAGATCTGTGGATTTTAAATTTTTTTAACACTTCATAGTACATCCTGTATCTACTGCTCGTTTCTGTAGAGCGCTCCTCGATGTTTGAAATATCATTGATAACACACTTTATACAGGGTAATAATTAATTCGATGCCGATACTTCAGGTTGTAAATATTTGGATGATTTTAAGATGAAAAGTTTATATCAATACAGGGTGTCTCATAAGTTAATTTTTCAAGTATTTTTTTTAATATTCTGAAAAATAAAAAAGATGAAAATTTTTAAAATTTCTTTAAATTTTGAATATTTTCCAACACGTACCTGCCATTACAATACAGGTGTCAAATAAATAATAAATGATTAATGACAAAAAATTAATTTTTCGATTGTTGAATTGAAAATGGCCTGAAAAAGTGCTTAGAATTAAAAGATTTATACGCAGTTAAAAAAAAGTATCAACTTATGAGACACCCTGTATATGTCTTAAACCTATTAGTTTTCGAGCTACAGTTTTAGAAAAAAAATAACTTTTTTATCATAATTTTCTTATTACTCCAGATATTTTTATGCCTTAACCCTGTAGCCCGAAAACTAAGAGGTTTAGGACATATATTGATATAAACTTTCCTTCTTCTTCGTCCAAATATTCACATCATGAAGTATCGGAACTCAATTAATTAACACCCTGTATAAAGTGTGTTATCAATGATATTTATTTAAGCTTTTGTTTGTTTTTTCATTCCAGGGAGTTCCTGAAAATATGCTATTCCGCCTTGCAAATCAACGGCAAATTGATAGCGGTGGAACAACAGGTATACCAGGAGGTGCTTCGACAAAATTACAAGAAATTATGCTCGTCATTGTCGGCCCTGTTTGGTGAAATTCTCTGGCCCCACGACGATATGGGCAGTTTCGAGAGGAACAGCATGGCGTTATTTAGCGCTGTAACGGGAGCATCGCAACATTCTAGTACAGCTTAAAGCTTAAAAATACGTACGTAGTTGATGGGTAAATGAAGAATTGAAGATATATACGTAATTTAAAAAGGTATGGACCTATCCAGCTGCGTGATATATTAATAAGATTTTTGGATAATATTATTGAACTTTCTTTATAGAAGGTGTTCCTAAACATCGTGCACATCAGAAAAGGGGTGATTCCTTGGCTTATTTCATAACTAAAATTGCTTATAAACATAGGTCCGCAAACGCTTCGTTATCGATCTACAGGGTGTTGAAATTTCAACGCTATGTTTATATGAACTTTTAGTCATAAAATAAGCCAAGGAATCACCCCTTTTTGGGTATGCACGATGTTTAGGAACACCCTGTATTTCGTTTTGTTATTGCTTTATGTCATTGACATTATTATTAATTCAACATTTCACGGATAGGTCTTTATTGATAAATGCAATAATACGTGGACAAAAAGTTAATTGAATTTCGTCCAATTATTGTTAGCGTTTGTAATACCGGATGACTATAAAAAATTGCCAATAAAATATTTATAGCCAACCTCTCAAAGTAAAGTGTAGTAAAAATCGTAAAAATTTAGTAAATTACTTTTCTGCAGCCACTCAGGTTTTTAATTATTTTCAATTCGTCGAATATTTTACATCACTCTAACGTTTTCGTTATCACTTTTTCCACACATTAAATAACAAATAATATGTACTTTTTTATTTAATGTATTACTTGTTAATTTTAAGAAAAAAATTGTATTGTATATTTTTCTATTCGATATTAGTTTAGAGCAATTAAAATGGGTTCATGGTTAACCATAAAGTATTACAATAATACTCATTTACGCAATATGTATCTCTTGTTGTATACAGAGTATCCCACCTGGTTTTACGGTAAGTTGGGTATCATGGGAAACTATTTACTTTACTGAGTGGAGGTGGAGAAAATATTTAAAGGAAATAGTCAATTTTAAAGTGTCTCTTGTAGTAGAATGACTAACTAGGTAATTTAATATATTTTTGTTTTGATATTTTAGTGATTTGTTATTAACTGAATATTTAAAATTTATTTATTTAGTATAAAATATTTTTTGATATGTCGTTTAATTAATTGTGATTAGGTATTTTAACTATTTGTAACGCATTTTTCTGTTAGGTGTATTTATAAAATAGACGTTCGTTCGATTCGTTTGTGGATAATGCACAAATTGGTAAAGTAAATTCTAAACCGAAATCTTAACGAAGCCTTAATATGTGACTTTTTATACTTTTATAATAACCACTAAATCAAGACTGGCCGAGCTAGCTGTTTAATTTTTGTAATAATCGCAATTTTAAGAAAATTATATTCCCATTTGAGCGCGTTTTTGACAGTTTCTATCCATTTTTTCTAACCACATTTTTAATTAGAATATATTAAAAGTAATCCTAAGCTTTCGAATATTAATAAATATTTACCTGCTCTATACGTGGGTTATGTGCTAAAAATTTTGAACCATTAGGAGTAATGTAAGCAGTTAAGTTTACTAAAATGCTTAAAAAGTAAAAATTTTTAATGTTATTAATTTATTGGAATAAATGTCATTTCGTTAACACAATATCGTATAAATAGATTAGATATCTGTCTGGTAGTAATATTTATATTGATGTGTCCAAATGGTTCACACAAAAGTTAAGGGTTCACAAATTTCTCGTCGAATTAAAATGGATTGTCTTTTACTCAAAATTTTCAAGTAAAACTCTTAACTCTAGATTTAATTGAAATCTCTCTCTATTTATAAAAACGATCATGCACAATGTATATAAAAATCACTCTCTTTTCTCCTCACTCAAATACGTTTAATTTAATTGATATAAGTAAACTTATTCTGTTCAGAGATGCAATGTTAGATATACTCCATAATATTACAGTTTTCTTACTTATCAATATTCTATTGGTTTTTTATGATAAGGCTCAAAAATTCTCTTTACTTTCATTTCATGATTAATATATTGCTTGAACCAATACTTGTAATAATCTGTACTAAGTAAACCTATAAATTGTGACTTTTATTAGAGAAAACTTGTAATATTTTTAAGTATATTCAAACAATCACGTGAATATCTTTAATATTGTGTGGGCTGTGAGTCGTCATAAAGCATTACATTATAGTAAATAGTCAGCCTAGTGTTTAGTTATCTTTACGAAAGCGGGGACATAAAATTTGTTTATTTATTTACCATTATTATTTACCCTAAATAATTTTTGAGTACCACCAATTATGAGTTATTGGTCAGTTAATTGTGCCATTGAGTTTTACTAAAGTTAGTTCCTTTGATTATTTAATTAAAATTTTATGTTCCTGCTGCCAAGGTTTTTCAGTTTTGCCAAAAATAAAAAAAATGTCTCTGTATATGTTCTTTGAAAATATGTACCATTATTTTTTTAGGTTTGTATTATTGTATTATATTTTTTTATTCCTGAATTGACAAGTTGACAAGTTTACTATAAAATTGTGATTTCACATAGGAAGAAAAGAGCAATTTCGAAATTTATATGTATAAAATATAAAATGTGTAAAATTGTTTTTACGTTGCTCTCTAATTTATTTATGACCTGAGTTATTTGAAATTTTTATATTCGATTACTTCGTATAAAAATTGTCAACGTGTTGAAATGATTCGTTATTTAAGAAATAAATATTATTTAGCAATCTACTTATACGTGTTTTTTATTGGAAATTAATTAATTCCATTCAATGCTTCCTATTACATTATCAAAATTAAATGGTATTTAATGATTGATTCGAAGGTTGTTATCACTTTTAATCATTCTGCGATTATCTTGCGCTGCTACAAAACATTGAATTCCCTCCACATTTAAATTTAAAGGTACTCGACAGTTAAGTGAGTTTAGTTAGCAGCACAGTTAGCACACTCGTACTCGTAAATACCACATCGATAAGAACGATGACTAGAAATAATTTCTTTTTAAATGTATTTTCGCGTAATAGCCGCAATTTGTTAAGACGTTCTAAAAAGAGTCCTAAGTCCTTTAACGTAAGGACTCTAGCGTCCCAAAATGATGCAAATTCGAATATTATGCACAGTGAGAGTAGTGATGTCGATATCCCTAATGTAACGATTCCCGAGTTTATTTTGCCCAGTTTGGAACGATTTGAAAAATATGTGGCGTCGGTAAGTTTTTTCTTGGATTAACCCTTGTAGAAAAATAATAATATAGTTTATTGATTAAGCTAATCAAATTTTATATTAAATGGAAATATTTATATGACTGTAGTATGTACAATTGGTTGATATAAGTTATAGAATGGTCCATTTACAAAGCACGCATATTGTATTCTATTATGTTTTATTCTATACATTTCTTGTACCAACTTATACATGCATTTAATCTATTATTTAACGATTGGAATATTTGAGAGTGCCAGAGGCGTACAATTATTTGGTACAGTTTTCAATTTAATCTTCAATTTTCACACAAAAAATTCGAAGTATTACAGATTCTGCAGATTATGGAGAGCAGCCGTACATATATGTATATTCAATCCACAATACTGATTATGAATTTCTAACGATAATTTTATCAATTTTCCATAATTTTTTTTCGTAAAAAATATAACCTTTTTAATATTTATAGGAATGCGCGACGACAGGTAGAACATATACCTTTGGACAGATTCGAGGAAAGTCTAAAAATTTAAATAAAGCCTTGAGACATGCTTTTAAATTACAAAAAGGTGACGTTGTTGGAATATTGTTGCCCAATTGTCCAGAATTCGGAATCGCCGTTTTGGGTGTTTTAGAAGCTGGATTGACAATTACCACAATGAATCCCATTTATACTCCTGGTAAGTTTGGGTGACATGACATGTAGGTTATTATCATTACTATAAACAAATTATTACCTAAGTATAAATAAATAAAATAATTGGATAGCAGAGATCGTACCTATGTATACAAACAATTGAAGTGACACGGCATATCCATTATCCACTAATAGAGAAAACCTACATATAATTGAGATATCAATTAAACTGGCTCACTATTTTGTATAAATAATGATAAGTAATTATTAACAAACAACAAACAGGGAATAGTTTTAAAAATACAGCCGAATGCTGAACAACTGTTATTTTACAATCAAATTTACATGTAATCACAGTAATCTTATCTGGTATTATTGTATTTTTTTCGAACTTCAATTTAAATAGCGACAACCTTGTTTAAATGTATGTATTTATGTATGTATATATATTTACTATGTAAATATTCGACTCTGCTTGAATAAAAGATTTTTTGGGTTGTTCTTATAACTGTTTAAATTATGCAATTTAAAGATTATTGGCATATAATATTATTTAAATTTATTACGTTTAAAAATTTAGCAACACTTAATATTTTTTTTTAATTTTGTTGATCTACTTCGTTTAAGCTATACCTAATTATGGTATTTCAATTTTTCAAATAATCATTTTTTAAGCAGTTACTACTTTTCTCTGGAAAATGCTATCTATATTTTTTAATGAAACATTTAATTGTACAGGGTGTGTTTTTTTGGATCTTTAGTATAGGGATCTCGGAAACTGTAAAATATAGAAAAAAGTTTAAATGTACAAAAATTTGTAGTTGTGAGACTTATTTACAACCGTTTGCAAAATATGACACATATCAAAAGATATTAAAAAAATGTTGAAAAATGAAAAAGTTGTTAGAGTCCAAGTTGTGAACAAATCTCAAAAAACTGCAAATATTTGCTCATTTAAACTTTTTTCTATCGCCTACAGTTTCCGAAATCTCTGTACTAAACATCAAAAAAAACTCACTCTGTACTTACCAAAAATCCCCTATATTTCAGTTGAGATATCCAAGCAATTATTGGATTCCAATACCAAAGTTTTAATAACCCAGGCACAAGCTATTTCCACTGCAAAAGCAGCCTTACAGTTAGCAAAAAAAGATATCCCAATCGTAGCAATTAAAAGATACGTAAGTGACATTTTTTTTTTAATTTTCATTTTTACCGTCCTTTATTCTTTTAGCAAAACGACAGTCTTCCTTCTGGGGTGGTTGATTTTGAAGAATTAGTTAATAATGAGGTTTCAATACCGGATGTTCCATATGTAAATTCCAATGATATCGCTGTTTTGCCTTATTCTAGTGGAACCACAGGGTTACCAAAAGGCGTGGAATTAACACATTACTCCATTATTTCGAATATCTCTCAAATTTCTCATGAGGATTTTAATTTCTATGATATAACAACTGGTAAAATATGAGGGTAATTCTTCAAGGATTTGTCGACTAAAATGTACCGTTTTAGATAATTACCAAGACGTATCTGTTACAGTCTTGCCATATTTTCACATATATGGTTTCGCTTTGAATTTATTGAATATGATGCATAAAGGATGCAAGACTGTGACATTGGAAAAATTCTCACCTGAGATTTACGTATCAGTACTGAAAAAACATCGTCCCAGCCTATTATACGTTGCACCTCCATTAGGTAATGCCTAGAGAGATAGGTTGTAATAAAAAGTGGGTCCTATATTATACCTCATATTCTGAGGTCAAAACTAAGTCGATTGGACCCTATTTACATACAAGGTTTTTCACGGAAATGGTGCATTAGAAGGTTTTGGAGTTCCTGAAAGGTTACCAAAACTGAATGTTTTAAGGATTAAGGTGTAATCATGGTTGCGAGTTTTTCTTGAATATTTTCAACGTGACTTCCGGTCATACCGGAAATAATAACACTAAATGCCAAAAATTCACCATTTTAAAGTTGTTTTTTTTTCGAAATTTTTTTGAAAAAACGGTCGAATGTATTTTCAATGATATCTCTGTTAATAACGCACCTAGAAGTTTAAAACTTGGTATCAATAATGCCCAGGCACAGTAGGTACTAAATTAAACTAAGCTGAATTTTCATGGCCCATTTACAGTTTTTAAATTGTCTGAATAACTTGGCTAACTTAAAGTTAAAGTGGCTATAACTTTATTTGTTATTTCAATTGAATTTTTAGCAATGGACATTTTTAAGCCCTTTCGATCTATATGGATATTCCCTAAACCCAAATCACGTCGTTTTTGAAATAATCTAACTTTTATTATGCTATGAAAATTCTATTCTTGGGTTTTCTAGATGGCTATGCGATGCATTTAATACACCATAACTACCGTCATAAATTTAACATTAAAATAACCATTGTGAAAACGACCTGTGAAAACTGTATGTACGACAAAAAATATGGTACCCTCTGAAATAATATTTCTTTTCAAGGCTACTTTGAAACTCATGCACCAATGGATGGCAATTTTTTCAAGAAAAAAACTTTACTTATAATTTAAATTGTAATGAATGATTCCGAAAAGTGATTAATTTGTTAATTTCTTTTAGTTTTATTTTTAATTTCACATTCTGGAGTCAAATCTGAATATTTCGATCGTTTGAAAATGTTAATGTCAGCCGCTGCTCCTTTAGGCCTTACTGACGAAGAAAGGTTTATCAGAAAAGTCCGAAAAGAAATCAATATGTGCCAAGGTGAGTTTTACTTTCAATTACATTTCTATTCAAATTTTGATTTTGTTAAATACTTTTCACACAAATCACATTAATTGTGCGTTTTATTAGGATACGGTTTGACTGAAGCTTCTCCTGTAATAACGATGATACCAAATAAGACGAAGCGTTCAGAAAAGAATAGCGGTGGCGTTGGAAAAGTATTGCCTAATACTTTGGTTAAATTCATAAATCCTGAGGATCCTTCAGGTAAGATAAATAAATAGAAGTAAAAAAATTGCTGCAAATAAAATTTGGAATATTTTCTAGGTACTCCAATAGCTGCTTATGAAAAAGGTGAACTCCTGATGAAAGGTCCGCAAGTAATGAAGGGTTACCATAACAGGGAAGAAGAAACTAAGAAAGCATTTTTAGATGGCTGGCTCAGAACAGGTGATATAGGATATTACAATGACGAAAACGTCGTTTTTATTACAGACAGAATAAAGGAATTGATAAAGGTAACAAAGTCAATCTTTTACACAAATCGATATTGTATACTCCACTTTCAGGTTAAAGGTTACCAAGTGGCTCCTGCTGAATTGGAAGCCATCATTCGCGATCATCCCCTTGTAGATGATGCCGCTGTTATAGGCATTCCTCACCCTCAGCATGGTGAAGTACCGAGAGCCTACGTTGTACCAAAGAAAAATTCTGCGTTAGATGAAGAAAATGTACAAAACCACGTGGCAGATAAAGTGGCGTCTTACAAGCGATTACAAGGCGGCGTCAGAATTTTAGAAAGCATTCCCAAAAATACAACGGGGAAAATCTTGAGGAGACAACTGAAAGAGAATTTTGCAGAAAAGGGATTTTAGAGACAATTTGAAAATATTTTGTGAATATTTAGAATGTCGTGTAAACAAATAGGTTTTTTTTTATCTAACAAATTTGTATCTTTAGTAGGTTTGTTTAACGTATTCAATTTAATTAGCTCAATTAATTGATACTAGTAATAAGAGGAGTGTAAAGAAGAATATAAAGTGTACAAACGGAATAAACGATACCGTAGACATGTTTTATTTGTATCTAAAGTCAATTATAAATATACCTACCTATTTTTATAGATGAAATAACTTGTTTTAAATTTGAACTGATACATATAAAGTTTTTAATTACTTGTTTAAGTGTTTGTTCGTATTGTCTATTTTTGAAACCAATTCTTTAATTCGTATGTAGTGCCGATAATAATATTAATTTTCTCTTCGATTTCTGTTTTGTACTTGACCCAAGTATTTAAATTTTTGGAAAATTTCTCCAATAATTCATGTGTTAAAAACGTACCATATTTTCCTCAGTGCTCCTAATGAGATATTTACATGGCTCTAACTAATCGTTTTTGTTCGTAATTGTTGGAAAATATTTAGCAAAACATACTTTTTTTTGTTACATACTATATTAATTAATAAATTTTCATAAACGAATACTAAAAAAATTGTCAACATGTTAAAATAATTCTTTATTTAAGATATATTTAGCAAACTACATAATAGGTAAGTGTTTTTTATTGAAAATTAAAATTTATTCCGTCCAAATGCATCCTACTCATTACATTCTCAAAATTAAATGGTGTTTAATGAATATGAAAGTCATCGCTTTTAATTATTCTGCGATTATCTTGCGCTGCTACAAAACATTGAATTCCCTCCACATTTAAAGGTACTCGACAGTTAAGTGAGTTAAGTTACCAGCACAGTTAGCACACTCGTACTCGTAACTCGTAAATACATCGATAAGAATGATAAATAGGAATCAGTTATTTTTAAATGCATTTTCGCGAAATAGCCGTAATTTGTTAAGACGTTCTAAAAGGACTAAGCCATTAAGCGTAAGGACTCTAGCGTCCCAAAATTATAGAAATTCGAATATTATGCACAGTGAGAGTAGTGATGTCGATATCCCTAATGTAACGATTCCCGAGTTTATTGTGCCCAGTTTGGAACGATTTGAAAAATATGTGGCGTCGGTAAGTTTTTTCTTTGATTAACCGTTATAGAAAAATAATAATATAGTTTATTGATTAAGTTAATAAAATTTTATATGAAATGAAAATATTTATATAATAAAAATATTTACCTAGTTCAATTGGTTGATATAAGGTAGAGAATAGCCCGTTTACAAATAACGCATATTGTATTCTATTATGTTTTATTCTATACATTTCTTGTACCAACTTATACATGCATTTAATCTATTATTTAACGATTGGAATATTTGAGAGTGCCAGAGGCGTACAATTATTTGGTACAGTTTTCAATTTAATCGTCAATTTTTACACAAAAAATTCGAAGTATTACAGATTCTGCAGATTATGGAGAGCAGCCGTACATATATGTATATTCAATCCACAATACTGATTATGAATTTCTAACGATAATTTTATCAATTTTCCATAATTTTTTTTCGTTAATATAACCTTTTTAATATTTATAGGAATGCGCGACGACAGGTAGAACATATACCTTTGGACAGATTCGAGGAAAATCTAAAAATTTAAATAAAGCCTTGAGACATGCTTTTAAATTAAAAAAAGGTGACGTTGTTGGAATATTGTTGCCCAATTGTCCAGAATTCGGAATCGCCGTTTTGGGTGTTTTAGAAGCTGGATTGACAATTACCACTATGAATCCCATTTATACTCCTGGTAAGTTTGGATCACATGTACGTACGTTATTATCAATAGGGTAAACAAATTATTACCTAAGTATAAATAAATAAAACAACACGACCTATCCATTATCCAGTAATATAAAAAACCTATAATTAACTGAGATATCAATTAAACTGGCTCACTATTTTTTGTATAAATACACTGATAAGTAATTTTGTATCTATTAATAAACAACTGATAATAATAGAGAATAGTTTCTCTATTCAAATTAAAAAAACTTCAAATGATATAACAACAACCTAGTTAATCTGTAAATATTCGTCTTTGCTTAATTAACAAGTTTATTGTTGTTTTTAACTGTTTTAATTACAATTTTTTTTAAGATAATTGTGGCATAAGATTATTGAAATTTATTAACGAACTTAATCTATTTATGTATAGTCCTTTTCAAGATATAGTAGAAAATGACTTTATAAGCTGATGAGTTTATGACTACCCGGTGCTGTTTAGGGTACACGCCGTACTCGCCGGTCGAAGGACGCAGAACCGAATTTTAAGTTTGGTACGTTCGCTGCGGCTAAGCGGTGATGCAAAATACTCATTAAATAACATTTCTTAAGTTCTTACCTGGAAATGTAAATACTGTTTACCACCCGACCCGACCGAAGTGCTTCAACGTTCCATTGTATTGGTATTAGGAAAGTCATTACTTTATTGCTATAATCCCTAAGCTCTCACGCCTCTTTTCTACTATATCTTGAAAAGGACTATACATATGTATGTATATGTATATTTATTAATTTTTATATTACTTTGTTGACCTACAGCGTAGTTGTTATACCTAATTATTGTATTTTAATTACAATTTTTTTGCTCGTTACTGTAACTATATAAACCTACTAACAGGTTACTATGCTAGAGATCTGAAGAAGGTAATGTAACTAACACGTTACAGTACTAACTGTTTTCTTAAAAATGCTATTCTTTTATTGAAACGTAATATTTAATTATATTTACCAAAATCCCTTATACATATTTCAGTTGAGATATCCAAGCAATTATTGGATTCCAATACCAAAGTTTTAATAACCCAGGCACAAGCTATTTCCACTGCAAAAGCAGCCTTACAGTTAGCAAAAAAAGATATCCCAATCGTAGCAATTAAAAGATACGTAAGTGACATTTTTTTCTTAATTTTCATTTTTACCGTCCTTTATTCTTTTAGCAAAACGACAGTCTTCCTTCTGGGGTGGTTAATTTTGAAGAATTGGTTAATAATGAGGTTTCAATACCAGATGTTCCATATGGAATTTCCAATGATATCGCTGTTTTGCCTTACTCTAGTGGTACCACAGGTTTACCAAAAGGCGTGGAATTAACACATTACTCCATTATTTCTAATATCTCTCAAATATCTCACGATGATTTTAATTTATATGATACAACAAGTGGTAAAATATGAGGATAATTTCTTCAAGGATTTGCGGACTTAAATGTACCATTTTAGATAATTATCAAGATGTGTCTGCTACGGTTTTGCCATATTTTCACATATATGGTTTCGCTTTGAATTTATTGAATATGATGCATAAAGGATGCAAGACTGTGACACTGGAAAAATTTTCACCTGAGATTTACGTTGCAGTACTGAAAAAACATCGTCCTAGCCTATTATACGTTGCGCCACCACTGGGTAATGCTTAAATATACAGTGTAATCAAAAGGTTAATCATAAATTATACCTCATATTGTGAGGTCAAAATTAAGTCGATTGGACCCTATTCACATACATACATATGTATATCCAAAATGCCATATAAACCAAGTTAGAGCCTGTTTGAAACTGTTAACTGATAATCCATTTTTTTAATAATTCCAAAAGTATACAATAAATCTTCATGAAAATGGTTTCTTTAGCCCAGAATATGACCACCTTTTTGTTACAACATGTACAAGGAGATATGTATAACATGCTGTTTATCAATGAATGCGCTTTTTTCCAAACTGCCTTTGATTGAAATTTTACATACATAAGCGCAAACATGGTAGTATCTGAAATATTATTTTCTTCTCGAGGCCCCTTATACAGGGTTCTCTAAGTTTTAAGGACGGTCAAGTTTTCCTTGAAAGACCCAGTATACTCACCAATAACATGGGAATTGCAAGAAAAAAATCTATATTATTTAAATCATGATGGATGATTGCGAAGAGTGATTAATATTTGTTAATTTCTTCTAGTTTTATTTTTAACTTCACATTCCGAAGTCAAATCTGAATATTTTGATCGATTGAAAATGTTAATGTCAGGCGCTGCTCCTTTAGGCCACACCGACGAAGAAAGGTTCATCAGAAAAGTCGGAAGAGAAATCAACATGAGCCAAGGTGAGTTTTACTTTTAATTTCATTTGTAATTAAATTTTGATTTTGGTTAACAATTTTCACTCAATAATTATGCGTTTTATTAGGGTATGGTTTGACTGAAGCTTCTCCTGTAATAACGATGATACCAAATAAGACGAAGCGTTCAGAAAAGAATAGCGGTGGCGTTGGAAAAGTATTGCCCAACACTTTGGTTAAATTCATAAATCCTGAGGATCATTCGGGTAAGATAAAGATAGAAGTAAAATAGAAGTAAAAAAATTGCTACAAATAAAATTTGGAATATTTTCTAGGTACTCCAATAGCTGCTTATGAAAAAGGTGAACTCCTGATCAAAGGTCCGCAAGTAATGAAGGGTTACCATAACAGGGAAGAAGAAACTAAGAAAGCATTTTTAGATGGCTGGCTCAGAACAGGTGATATAGGATATTACAATGACGAAAACGTCGTTTTTATTACAGACAGATTAAAGGAATTGATAAAGGTAACAAAGTCAATCTTTCACACAAATCGACATTGTATAATCCACTTTCAGGTTAAAGGTTACCAAGTGGCTCCTGCTGAATTGGAAGCCATCATTCGCGATCATCCCCTTGTAGATGATGCCGCTGTTATAGGCATTCCTCACCCTCAACACGGTGAAGTACCGAGAGCCTACGTTGTACCAAAGAAAAATTCTTCATTAGATGAAGAAAATGTACAAAACCACGTGGCAGATAAAGTGGCGTCTTACAAGCGATTACAAGGCGGCGTCAGAATTTTAGAAAGCATTCCCAAAAATACAACGGGGAAAATCTTGAGGAGACAACTGAAAGAGAATTTTGCAGAAAAGGGATTTTAGTGACAATATAAAAATATTTTGTGAATATTTAGAATGTCGTGTAAACAAATTGTTTTCATTTTGTAACTAATTTGTATGTATCTAATTGCCTTTAATTTGTTTATTTAACGTTATGTTATACAATTTAATTACCTCAATTAATTGATTGAGAGGAGTGTGTTATAAATGTTATAATGTTATAATTTGTTTTAAATTTGAACTGATAAATAGAGATTTTTATTACTGGTTTAAGTGTTTTTTTTGTATTGTCTATTTTCGAAACAAATTCAATTTTCTGTAGTTCTAATAATACGATAATATCTATTTTCTCTTCGATTTCGGCTTTGTACTAATGTCCAAGTATTAAAATTTTTGAAAAATTTATAAAAAAATTGTAATACATATATTTAATTCATTGTTTTCGTTGCATTCACAATAACTTCCAATATTTCAATCGTTGAAATTGTTGGATCTACTTCTGTTTTACGGTAAGTTAGTATTCTATAGTAGGTACGAGCAATTTCACATAGGAAGAATAAGAGCAATTTTCCAATTTAAAGATTTGTATTAATATAAAAATTTGAAATTAATTTTTACGTTACTTTCTACATTGTTTATGATCTGAGTTGATTGAAATTTTTATAATCGATTACTGTATATAAATTGTCAACATGTTAAAATAA